GGCAAGAATGAATAACATTAGAGTGTTTGGTTACAAAATTCTTACCCAGAGCCACATTCTTTTTAAAATGAAAAATCAGTCCCATAGCACAAAAATTGGCTAGCACATGAAAAATAATCATGCTCCATCTTGCTCATTTCATTCTTTGAGGAAACTCTATCTATAAAATTGTTGCCATAGATGTTTACTTTTGCGAAATCACTTTTATGAAAGCACTTTTGCATGAAAGCACTTTTATGAAAGTACTTTTATAAAAGCACTTTTACGAAAGTATTTTTATGAAAGCTCTTTTACAAAAGTATTTTTATAAAAGCATTTTTACGAAAGTACTTTTATAAAACATCTATGCCAATTGGTAAACATTGACTATTGGAGACCTAAGTTGGCGGTTTGTGAATACTACCATTTTTTTTTTCTTTTTGAAGAATGAAAATGAGCAACATAGGACACTTGTCAATCTGAAAAGAATTCATTTTGAAGAAAAAAGTGTTTGGTTCATAGCAATAATTTCTCATTTTGCCTATTTTTACCCATTCTTTTCCATTTTAGAATTTCATCTAGGGTAAGAATGAGAAATAATGAGAATTGAACCAAACATGGCCTAAGTTTGTGACTATGTTCTTTTATAGAGATAAATGAGGAGATGCAGCTTAGAAGCTTAGCAATTGTTGGATTATTTGATGTGTTGGGCAGGGATTCTAGGACGGTATTGACTAGTTTGGACTCGGAAGCCGAGTAACAGTGGTTTCAAAAGACTCATCAGGTTTAGACTAGGAAGCCTAAGAATGGTGGTCGATGTGGAATGTTAGGTTTGGACTTAGAAGCGGTGGTCATGCGGACTCGAAAGGCACAATTAGGTTTGGACTCGAAAGCCATGAGTGGCGACAGTGGTGGAGCAAGGGATGAACACTAACACAATGCCGTTTGTGGTACGATTTAGCAAGGCGTGCCTTTTATATTTTTCCCCTTCCTACATCGCTGCCAGTGTCGAAAATTACCAACAACAAGTTGATCCCTATTGTGTTGATGTCAATGACTGGTTCAACAGTAGAATCAATATGTGCTTGAGAACATAGAGTTAGCATCATCTGGCCAAATCAAAAAAAGGCATTTTTTACCATAAAATGGTATATTAGAAATTTTTGAAAAATATAACAATCACGTGATATCACATATAAACGATTTACCACGGAAAGTTAATGATAGGGTAAGTTTTAGGCAATTGTCATATATAATATGGGTGGTTTAAGACTATAGTTAAACATAGGGGTACAATATTGCCAAAATAATTTATACAAATAATATGGGTGGTTTAAGATTATAGTTAAACATAGTTAAAGATAGTTTTAAGAAATTTTTATACAAATGAAGAAGCCTAAGGTTCAAGTTACATACAATAATATTGCCAAAAATGCTTCATGCGATACTTTTTCATTTTATTTCATTCGCGACATATAACATCGGTTATCTTTAGTTCATTTCACTAATAATATGTAATACTTTAGTTGCTTTTAATTTAGATTGCATTTAGATAAGCTCCAAGATTTATGCCTTTTAATATTCTGAGAAGTGTCTGAGAGAGAGCATGTGTGTTGAAAAAGGATTTGTGCTTTTAAAATACAAAGGCAACAAAGCCCAAGTATTAGTGCCCATTTGAGATGGTTTTCGTGCATGGCTTTTTTGCACTGTGACTCGAGGCCCATCTAAACAGCCTACAAACAATGTTTGTTAGAAGTAAAACAAATGAAAAAAAAAGTTTTCAGCCACGAAAATAAGAAAAATTGTTTGCCATCTAATTTTCGTCATCCCTGTCCAGTACCTAACCTCTCCGACCCGATGGGGTTGGAGATGGAGAATTAGGGATTACTTTGGCAAGGCAGGGATAGGATATACTTGAAAATTGGGGTTTGGGATGAAGAATATGATTCCTGTCTCGTTGCCATTCTTATTCCTGTCTTTTCCAATTTCTTTTAGTGATTTTTTCCAAAGCATTGAAATGGAAGCAATTCAACCAAGGTTAAATCTATGCTACTAGAAATATGTGATATTCGAAGAGCTTTAACCAATCACTTTCGATGAATTTCAACACATTTGATTGGTTACCACTTTTTATGATACTGGTTAATTAGTTATAAATTCTTTGAGGATCATGTCCTTTTTCGCATTATAGATTCAAACCCTTCAACCAAAGCTTTGGCCCGTTTAGTTTAGGACCTGTTTGGGATGATTAAAGCTTCACTTGATACGTGATATTGGGCTTTTTAACATTGCTTTTTCAAATGGACACTTTGGGCCGTTTGATACAGCTGAATTAATTGGACTGAAATAGCTTATTGCTTTGTTGCTTAGGTGGCGTTTCATAAATCTGAAAATTTAGATTTAGAAAGTTAAAAAGATATTAAATGTGTCTGAAATCTAAAAAGAGGCATAGTTGCTTTTCTACTTTTTAGAGGATTTTAATCCATAAGTTTGTTTGTCTTGGATCAACCTTTTACCATATGAAATTTACTGATTTTACAATTTTACCCCTAAAACATACAATTTAGAAATGTTGAATTCAATTTACATTGTCTTATAAAAAATAATTTTCAACCTCAAAATAATATTGAAACAATACAAATAAAAATAATAAATTAATAATTACTAATTATTAAATGAAACGATTAAAATAAAAAAATAATTAATGATTATAAATATTAAAATAATTAATAATTTATACAAATAAAGATTAAAATATTTTTTAAAAATTAATGAAATAATTAAAATTTACTAATTAATAATTAATATATAACACAAGTAAATTCAATAAAAAATAATTAATGTTTAATAAAAAATATTAAAATAATTAATAATTAAGAGAGAGATTATTATTATTCATCGAAGTACCGAACCACTGCTGCTTGTTGCAACGGTGGGTGTTGGTGGGAAGACAGGGGAGGGAGGGAGAGAGAGAGAGGGGAGAGAACAAGAGCGAGAGTGAGAGAGAGAGAAGACGACGGCAGTGGCGGTGGTGGGAAGACAAGGGGGAGGGGGAGAGAGAGAGAGAGAGAGAGACAGAGACAGAGAAGACAGGGGGAGAGAGAACCGTCGTTGTAACTTGTAGTGGCGGTGGCGAGAAAACAAGGCGAAGAGAGAGCAAGCGAGAGAGAAGATAGGGGAGAGAGAGCTGCCGCTGCAACTTGCAGCGGCGGTAGCAGGAAGACAAGGCAGAGAGAGAGAGAGAGAGAGGTCGAATGTTTAGGTTTTCTGGGTTTAGGGGTATCAGGGGTAACTCAGGTCATTTATGAAAAATTGTAAGGATATTTTGGACATTAGGTTGGCTCTGAAACGCGTCTAAGCGCATTAAGAGCCTGCCCAAGGTCTATCATTTTCAGATCTAAAAATCAGTTTTAGACCCAATTTAAGTGGTATAACCAAACAAGGGGTGAGGTCTGAAAAGTAATATTTTCATATTCAGACCTCTAAAAAGTGCAGTCAAACAACACCTTAGTGAGTAAGATTTTAAGGAGGGCAAGGGTTCTTTAATGGCTGCAGCTGAAGTTGGATAGACTATTATACCTTTGCATATTTAGTGTTTAATTATTTTGTTCATTAAAACAAAGCAAAAAGTTATTTAGTTCAGCAACTTTATTTGTTATTGAACAACCCCTTTGGCTGTTACGAGCAACTTAAAAGTGTTTTGGCATTAGATCGTTACATTTTAGAAAGCAACTTAAAAGTTTATAAGTGCTTAAAAAGTAAGTGCTTGTTCGAATAAGCACTTATTTGCATATGGGAAATATTTTATTGCAAACGGAGCCTCTTTATTAATGATGTTCAATATATTATTGCAAATCTAATATAACCCAAGGGATTTGAATACTATTACCAAAAATGGATATTATCTAGAAATTACCCTTACTTTTCGCATTTTTCTTAAATTCATCATGACTTTTCAAAACCTCCAAAGAGCCCCCTGTTAGTAAATTTATTTTCTAAAACTCATCGTTCGTTAGATTTATGTTAGGTCAAAGTTAATGATTATTAATAGAAGTTGCTCGAATAAGCATTTAAAATTTTAAGTATTTTACATGACCAAACTACACCTAAATGGTCGGTTAAGCTTATTAAAATATATATTTTAAATATATGCATATGTTGGCCTAGGCCCAAGTTAGGGGTAAATTAAACTTGTTACATGTAAAATAATAATAATAATAATACTTAAATGCTTGCATGAACATCTTTTATTAATGATCACTAACGGTGATCTAAGGAATGTGAGCTTTACACAATAAAACTCAATGACAAGGGCTCTCGAGAGGTTTTGAAAAGTCATGATAAATTTAAGAGAAATGTGGAAAAAGCCATGGTCAGTTTTAGATAACATAAAAAAATGGATTAAAATATAATTTAATCGACAAAAAATATGATATAATCTAATGAATTAAGATTTTATATCTAGGGATTTTTGGACTGCAATTCCCCTCAGAAATGGGATTTGCAGTCCCCTCCTAGTCTACTAATAGCCCCCCTATGAATCGCATCCTGCCTGTAAACCCGGCATCAATCCATGGGCAGGATTCCAGTCCACCCCTAGAAATCCTAGCTCCAGCTAGGGTGGACTTAACGGTAAAATCCTCTTATATCTATTGCCCAACTTGATTCGATACCTTTGCAGCCCTACTTAGGACTAGACTTGTTCATGGCCTGATGGGCTAGCCCGGTCCGATCTATTTTTAATTGGGCTTAGGCAAGTTTTAAGCCTATGGGCTCAGGCTTTCCCAAATAACCTCAGCCCGAGCCTGAGACCAGCGCGATAAGATTATATATAATAAAAGTATAATATATAATATATATTTAGCAAAAAAATATCATTTATATTATAATATATAAAATATTATTAATAATATGTAATTAATATATTATAAAATACTTGTCAAAAATGGGATTCGGGCTCGGACATTCTCCTTTTTCTATTTATATAATGAGGCAAAGTCCGGCCCGGCCGCTGAGTACTCAAGAGTCAGTTTAGGCGGGAACTCAGGTGATAGTGATAGGCATCGGGAGGGCGAGCGAGGAATCCTCCGTCCGTCCTCTAGTTCAAACCATTTGACCGAGACCGGCCATCATCTGTAAGTCAAGGGGCGGGATGGAAGTGTCAAGTCTACCTCTCTCACCTTCACAGAGGGGAAAGCTTATAGCGGCTGGCTACACAACTCTTTCATCCCTCTCTTCAGTTTCTGCTCCGGACCTCGCTCGTGGTATCTTCTTCTTCTTTTTCTTCTTCCCAATTTAATCTTATATCCTTTATGATCTCTCGTATTTCTTATCAAACGGAAAACTTCTATTGCAAATGCGTTGAAGTACCCTTCTATGATTCTATTTCACCATAGGTACGACGTGTTCGATTCGAATTATTTGGTAATAAACGATGACTGAAATTACCCATCTCATTTGTAGCAGTTTTGAAAGAGAATATTACAGATGACAAACAATGCGGCATCAAATTGACTATTTAAATTAGTTTCGTCTAGTTAATATGCTAATCAAGTTATTCTTTCTTTCTTTTCTAATTTTGTTCATATCATATCAAACACACACACACACACACACTATTATGCTGGTGCTAACAATCTTACTGTAAAAAAGGAACGCCTACAACCTCATATGAAACTTCTATCAAATGACCTCTACGTAATTATATTGGCTCTCAACACGAATCCATTAATCCACATTTTTTTTGGCTCATCAAGTGAAGCTTCACTAAAAATTATGTCTTCCTGATATAACTTGAATACTTGGTGGAGTTCACAGTCCTATTTGGGTTGCATTTAATGGTTAGTGGCATTTTGGCAATAGTTATAAATGCTTATACGAAGGTCCATATTTCATAGAGACACTATACTGTACTATGATATGCTACAGAATACCAAATAGACCTATTAGACGAGCATTTTGCTGACAAATTGAACAGAGCATGTCATATGGGGCACTTATTTGAAGACATTCCCAACATTCACCTTCAGCATGCTCGATGTGTGCGAGCAAGATGGGACTAGATAAAGCATTGGAATTGTAACAACAGCTTAAAGAGAGTGATTTGAGAGAAGGACCGTGTACACAAATTGAATGGTATCTATGCCATGATCTGACCAAACGCGAGTTATGTTAGTTTAGCAGCAGCATGGTTCTGTAAAAGCTGATTGGCTCAGCACCTCATCATATGTTTATGTGTGGTTGCTGTTCACATTAGTAATAGGACTATCTGGTAAAGTACCTTTTATTGGCTCAACACCTCTAAATTTTGTGTTTTTTATTTTGATTTTTTTTTTCAAATAAGAAACATAAACAATGGGGATATTTGAACTCACCTACAACTCATTCAGTTTCCTTTTTATTAGGAAAATGAATCTAATCACTCCCTTGTTGAATACGAGGCATCTTTAACACAATCTGTGCATCCTGCAGGTCTCTTCTAGCATACACTTTAAGCTAAGATGATATAATCATGAATTAACCCACACATAGTGGCTCTTTATTCTACATATCATAGAAGATAAACAAAACGGGGTTTCTAAATAGGTACTAAATAGCCTAAATAAATCTTATTCTAGTAGGGTTTTAAACAAAGAACCCCTTGAAAAGAATTAAAACAAAGAAAGGAATGATAAATTGGAGAACTAAGTCCTAATTGAATTGATCCAACTCACATAAACCATATAAATTGTTAGGCTCAAAAATTGAATCATAAGATTTAAATAGTAATTCCAAGATTCTATTTCAGAATAGAATTGGATATAAGACTTGAATGGGAACCCTTGGGGTGAAACATGTGCACGTTTCTAAAGTTACGTAATTTCCACATAAATAGTAAACTATGTTTTTGTAATATGACATTCCTGCAGGTTTTGCAAACTACTAGAATAAACAGAAAGCAGTACTCTCAAAGTATATCCTGAAACAGTCCCCATCGAGGATGATGGAGTTGCAATATTACAAACTCTCAAGGAGAAGTTATAGTATTGTATCATTTTCTAGATCATGTTAAAGATCTCTGGAACGTTTTCTATCCACTCCATAACTTCTTGGGCCCAAAATTGATATCTATATTTAGAAACCATACCTAGAGGTCTGCTAGTACACATTACTAAATTAGAATGCAGTCTATTAAATCAACACCAAAAAACTTTCTCAGTACTATGATGCCACCCATTCTAGTTCCACTTGTAGCTTTAATTTCACAAGTTAGGCTTCCTTTATAAGAAAACATACATGAACTTAGGTTGTGTTTGGTTGCACATAAAATGAAGGAAAATGATTTCCATACAAAATTAAATTTAATAGGAATGAATCAAATTCCTATTCATGGTGTTTCACTTGGAAAACAAACCTGAATTGTTGAGAAATATATGAATGTTGCAACACATGAATTGAATGGACTGACTTCTGTTCAGGAAATGATATTGAAATTAGAAGGAATGCTATTTTCTTTCAATTTGTTCTCATTGTTTGAAAAATGTTAATTTCCAACAGCCATTTTATGTATAACCAAACACTACAGAATGATAGCTTTCAGTAAATCATTTAATCTACATTTTACATGCAACTGAACAGAGCCTTAATGCTAATTGGTTTATACAAAAGAAATAGTCCATAATGCTGGTCCAAATTAGCTCCCTTAAACTCCTTGCAGTGCATGTGAGGCATCTGTGAGAGTATCAGATGCCATGACACACACATTTGCTCAAATTCCATAGTCTTCCTCGTTCCTGTAGAATTTGCGGTCTTCATATCAGGTTTCTTTAGACATCTCTAACAACTGTTCCAATCACATGTGCAATGCAAAATCAAATTCAATTAGCAGGGCTAACTGCGTTATCACCAACTACTTGATCATGCAATTGGTTCCAGAGTATTCAGTATTTGTACAATTGTTAGAATGTCTTGTGCAACTTGCCATTTTCCTTTGTCATGTTGAACTTGCTTGAATGAAAGCAGGTTATCTCCAGATAATTGTGGTATAATTTAGTGTATTAGATAACACTTTTTTTTTTTGATAACTAATAATTCTATCACATTAGAAAGTGTTTGATTTAAACATTTGTATTTATCTTGTTACAATGTTTCTTTTATGAAGTTAACTCGTTTCATTTATCATAAATTTGTGATATGTCTATATATTTCTAACATACCTTATCGGCTTATCCTTGACCAGACTTGAATATTTCTGAGCATGAAGCAATTGAAATCCTGAAGGTCTCTTCACAAAGTAGTAAGAAAATAGATGGCTGCCATGCTATTGTTACTGGTACTTGGTGCCTCATTTACTTCAGTGGTTTCTCTTTTGATAAGTTGAGATTTTTCATAGAACAATTGAATTGCAAGATCTTTCTCAATCTTATCGAATGATTGATTGGCATGCTCATTTTCGCTTCAATGAGTATATTTACATTGGTTTGAAGATTTAAGTTTTGAGCAATAATTTAGGCTTCAATTTAGTTATGTGGTTAACTAATAATCTGTACTATGTTGCTACCACATGGTCCTGTCTATTTTCTTTAAAAATCTACTTGGATGTTTTGCAATTACTTCTAACTTATCAACCTTTAAGAACAAGCAAACCTCTATTCTTAGAACTCTTCACTTTTATTGGTTATATATATAGATAGATTAGTTCTTTAAGTGGAACATGTTTTTACACATCCATTAAGGGTGTGTTAAATGGGGATTTGGAATGGAAATGCTATTTCCACTACTTTCTGGATTCTGCATTTGGCTTCAAATAATCAAATTAGCCACATGCAGAGTGCAGAATTAGCAGCTTTATGGGCACTCTTTCCTCCATTTTTCAGCAGAAACTACTTTCCTTTCATGTAAAATCACCTTATTCTACAAAGAGTGGAAACCAGTTTCCAGGGCCAAATCATCCAGTCATTTTTACAACTTTGATAAAACCAGCTAAAATGAAGCTATCAATTGATGGGTTCGAGCAGAAGGCAGTTTATGGATTGAAAGGAGGAATTGATTGGAAACCAGTTTCTCTTTAGGTATGAACTTAACCAAGGCAAAAATTTATAGAAATTATGAAGTACAATTAGGAGTAGTTCATGGAGGGGTAGAATCTGTCTACCGTTCCTAACTCAGCAGGGTAGTGTTCTTCCAAAGCAGGGAGAGATGTTGGTTATCGTAACCAGTCCCTCAGAACTTAGTGCAGAGTGCTGACCGCAGAGGCTTAAATTATGTTCATCTACATTTAGTGTGAGAGAGATCAATTTGACGGAAGTTCCTTAAGGAATCATGGGTCAGCTGGTATAGGTGGGGCCTTCACAAATGTAAATAAATGGCAATATCATGTGGTTTCAGTGACCCTATTGGAGATGTAGGCTTTACTAAAGGCCAAGGCTCACATATCAGCCCTCCTTCCTGGTGCCTGGATTGCTAAGAACCTTCCTTGCTCCAAATTAGCTATCAAAGGAGATTAGTTCCATTCAATGGAGCAGTAATGTGGCCAAGGACCATAAAATCTCACATACCTTGAACGAGATACTCATCAGTTTCTAGAGAGTCAAGCTTGGTTGCTGATGGCCTAGCGAATACGTGGGAAGTAGTTTCCTCAGTCCAGGATGAGGAAAGGAAGTATAAATCACTCCCTAGACAAAACACGAGGCTGCCAGTTTTTTGGAAAATAGTAGACTCGAGTATACCTTTTCTTGCCAGTCAGGGATTAACACACACACACACACACACACTCTCTCTCTCTCTCTCAACACACATGCGCATGCACACATAAAATTATTGGAGACATTAGCTCATGCTTCGTGGTCGTTCACTATCAATTCTGTTGTAAACATGCTTACCCAAAAAGCTATTGTTTTGTATATTAAAATATATTACCTTTTATAGTAAAATGAGAAGGTTTGCTTATTCATGCAAGCAAATGACAATGTGTTGTACATACAGATAATGAAAATGGGTCATGCCAAACCTTTTACAAATACAAGGCAAAATGACATAACTAAAAAGGAGAATGGGTAAGGGGGGAGAGACTTTGAAAAATGTAGAAACTAACATTTTTTACCTTAATTGGAGTGTAAGAGGAAATTAATGTGCAACTGATAAAAAAGAGGAAATGAATGTGCAACTGATAAAAAAGAGGAAATTAGTGCTCAACCAGTCGAAAAAAGTTTACTGGTACTTATTATTTTTCAATTTTGAACCCATTATCATGTATTCATTCTAGGGAGAGACCTTTTGTTTTCTATTAATTTTCCTTTTCTTTTTTATTTTTGCCAGGTGATGGGGCCTTGGTGCACATTTTATATATCGTTGTGCATCCTTGCATATATATCCCCCTTTTACTCTTAATAAAAATTTCTGATTTTATTTTAGGAATTAGTTTTTCTTTTTTTTGGTAATTTTCCTTTACTTTTGTGGGGCCTGGCCTTTAAGTTTTCTTCAATGAGTCCCTTTAACTCCTTTAAATTTTCATGTTCATTGGTTGAGCTTATAGGAGTTTTATATCTTAATTTTAAATCTTTGGTATCAAAGGCAATTTCATGTTCTAGCTTAATGAAGAGAAATCCATCCCACCATAACCACTTCATAGATTATCCTTGATCTAAACTCCTTCTATCCCGTTTGATCAATTTCTTATTTTTTTTTAATTCTATCAATTTTACTCTTTTGCCTACTTTAATATAGTTGGGATGAGTCTTTGTTGAGCTGCTGATTATCAACTTTATTTTTTCTTGCTCATCAAAATTTTGCACTGTTTATTTCCTAATCACTCTTCTTGCTTATAAATCCTTAATTCAGCCCACAAAACTTCAATTCATGATCCTAAACTAACCTAATTTCATCTCCAAAATTGTTCAGTTTTTATGTTCCTCTTTGTTGAGTTTTGGGCTGATATAACATGTTTTTTATTTACATAGCATAGTTAGGGAGTTATTGGGCCTTAGGCCCATTAGTTTATGTTTTAAGTTAAGAGTGCTTTTAAGTTCTCACAAGTAGCCAACTTACTAACGACATATTTGTCTTTGTACTCTCTTTTATTTATGAGTATATAATCTAATGAAAGGGGCAGCCAAACCTAATTCTGAGCTTCTTCCATTCTCTTCTATCTCTCACCTCTCTCTTTCTTAGCTAAAACCTTTTCTCTTCTTTCTTTTCTTCTTTCTTTTACAGTTTTTATATCAAAACAGGTTGTCCAAACCTTTCTACTTGGTATCAGAGCAAGTTTAAACATTTCTTAAGCTGCTCCATCATGTAGCCCTAGATCGGCCGATTGCATGATAAGGTAAAGGGTTGATCGAAGACTTCAGGTAAGCCCAGTTTTTGGATTTTTTGGTGGAATTGCAATCCCTTGTAGCTAGTCTAGGATTTTACACCAAAATTAGGAAGAATTGGAGAAAGGAGGAGAGTCATGTTTTAGTAGGACTCCTTAATTTTGACCTAGGAAGTGGCGCCTAGTTTTCTAGGGTTCCTTGAGGTTTTCTGAAGGGGGCGGTTCAAGTCCTAGGCTCCCAACCTTTTTGGAGGTCTCTGGAGGGACCAACAACCTCTTTTCTCTCTTCTCTCGCTCCCACAGAAAAAAGGAATCTTTGGAGGGAGGGGCTTCTAAGGTTTCAGGAGGGTGTTTGAGGTTTCTAAAGGAGATAAATACCTTCTTTTTCATCTCAAATTGATTTCTAAACCTATTTTGAGAGTTATGGAGGGTTGTGTAGTTGAAAACAAATTTTCTGGAGAAATGGGATCTAGGGTAGGAGGTGTTGGAGACCTCTTTGGGGCCGGAACCATCACTATAGTCAAGTTGGATGGTACAAACTACTTAGAATGGTCACAATTTGCGAAGATGGCCATTGGTGCTTGTGGGAAATTGGGGTATGTCGTCAGTGAGGAAAAGAAACCTGAAACTAACCATTCCCAATGGGTACAAGAGAACTACATGGTGATGACTTGGCTGTGTAATTTCATGTTGCCCAATATAAGTAAGAACTTTTTATGGGCTAACACAACTAAGGGGATTTGGGATGGAGTAGCAGAAACCTATTCATAGAATGAAAATGTTGTTAGAGCCTATCAGTTGAGAAACCAGGTGATTGTTACTAGGCAGGGAGATAAGTCTGTTGCTATTTATTTTTCAGCCCTGAAATCCTTATGGTAGGAGATAGATCATTTGGAGACTGTGGTTTGGGAAAGTAGCAAAGATGCAACAACTTATCAGAAGCTGGTAGAAAAGAATAGGGTTTTTGAGTTTTTAGTTGGACTTATCCCTGAGTATGATATTGCACAACAACATATTCTTTCTCGAGACAGTGTAACTCTCTCTTAGGCATATGCCTTGGTGTTTGGAGATGAGAGTATGAGAAATGTGATGATGAGGAACCCAAGCCTTGGGCAATCAGCTATGGTTAGCACAGTGAAGCCTAAGCCGAGTGGGGATAAAGGTGGAAATGAACCGAGGAATGAGGACAAAAGGGATCTGATTTGTGACTACTGTAAGAAACCTAAACATACCAGAGATACTTGTTGGAAGCTTTATCCACACCTTGTACCGAGATGGCTCAGAAATAAGAAGGGAAATATGAATATGGTAGTGACTGGTGATTTATCAGGACCACTCTCTAGAATTTGTTGCAATAGCTGCAGGGAGGGCTGAATTGGAGAGATATGGACAGTTCTTGAATCAGAAGGATACAACCAGCTCCAACTCAGTATAAGGTGGACAACAAGGTGCATGTGGATCAGGAGGTAGTCATTATACCTCGTTTGCACACACAGGTAGTTCACATGCCATTGCAAATTATGTATCCACTACAGGTAAGGGGGCACCTTCTTGGATTATAGACTTAGGAGCCTCAGAATATATGACCAACATTTCCACCATTTTCACCTCATACTACCTTTGCTCTAGCAGAGATAAAGTTTCTATAGCTGATGAATCACATGTTCCCATTGTTGGGAAAGGGTCTGTTAGGATAACTGATACCATTACCCTACCTTCTGTCCTTCATGTTCCTAGACTGAGCACTAATCTTTTATCTGTTAGTAGCTTGACAAAGAATTTTAACTGTTCTGTAATTTTTTCTCTTGGTCATTGTGTTTTGCAGGATCTGAAATCAAAGAGGACGTTTGGGAGTGGTCGTAAGGTGAATGAAATCTATCTCTTAATGTGCTTCCCAGTCATCAGAGTCGACCATGTCAGTAGGAGTATTGAGTTAGAGTCAATGGGTCAAGTTATGCTTTGGCATAATTGGTTAGGACGTTTGTCTTTTGCTTCTTTGCGTTTTTTGTTTCCCAAATTGTTTGAGTTTGTCAGTTTGTCCAGTTTGGAGTGTGAGGGCTGTCAACTTGGAGAGCATTGTAGACATTCCTTTAAAGCAAGTAATAAAATATGTTCTTCTATTTTTGATATTGTTGATACTGATGTGTGAGGGCTGCACCATGTTTCCTCTATGAGTGGTTATTGGTATTTTCTTCTGTTTGTAGATGATTATGGTAATCTTCGATATATTTGATGAGATCCCGTGATGAGGTACCGTCTTTGGTTCAACAATTTCATCAGATGGTGCTGACACAGTTTGGGGTACGAGTGAAAGTGTTTAGATCAGACAATGCCAGGGAATACTTTGAAAAAAACTTGTCATCATAGAGTTATCCATCAAAGCAGTTGTACATACACTCCACAACAGAATGGTGTAGCAGAAAGGAAGAACAAACATATTGTGGAAGTAACAAGAAGCATCATGTTGAGCTTTAAAGTTCCAGTTCGTTTTTGGGGTGATGCAGTTCTTACAACAGAGTTCTTGATTAATCGGGTGCTTTCTCGTGTTCTTGGATATAACACTCTATTTAGCCTTCTTTTTCCTGAGGGGGAGACATTCCATATTCCTCTAAGGGTGTTTGGATGTGTGTGCTTTGTCCATGTTCTTGGTCCTCACTACTCAAAGTTGGATCCTAAGGTGAAGAAGTGTGTCTTCCTTGGGTATACAGGAAATTAGAAGGGGTATTGTTGTTATGATTTAGTCTTTGAGAGTCGGTATGTTACTATGGATGTCACCTTTTTTGAGTCCATACCTTTTTTCTTAGGGGGTTCTTCTCAGGGGGAGTGTTTTGGAGAAGAAAGTGAACAATCTATACCACTTCTTGTTCCAACTTCTTTGTATACTCCAGTGTCTAACCTACCTATTTCACTCACTTTGCCACCTCCATTGCGTCTTGTCTCTCAGTGTTTTACACGACAACACAGGGAGGTTGATTCCATAGTAGAGGAACTCACATCACTCCCTATCGGCTCATCAGAGATTCTAGGTTCGACTGACACAGGCCAAGTATGCCTCTTGTTCCCCTTGAAAGTTTAGTTCCTATTGATACTACTACCCTTGCTCTTAACTCCATTGCAGATGACCTTGATCTCCTTATTGCCCTCAAAAAAGGGAAGAGGAAGTGTACTGCTCATTGCATCTCACACTATTTTTTCTACAGTGATTATCCCCTTCCTACCAGACCTTCCTTTCCTTTCTTGACTTTGTGTCTATACTCAGGAGTGTTAGTGAGGCTCTCTCCAAACCTGAGTGGAAGACAACTATGTAGGAGGAAATGAAAGCACTGATTAAAAATCAGACATGGGAGATTGTGGATTTGCCTGATGGCAAGGAGACTGTTGGATGCAGATGGGTTTATACAGTGAAGTACACAACTGATGGGAGTATAGAAAGGTATAAGGCGAGGCTAGTTGCAAAAGGGTATACTCAGACTTATGGCATAGACTACTTGGAAATTTTTGCACCAGTGGAAAAGATGAGTTTAGTTCGAATTCTTCTATCACTAGTAGCTACATACTCTTGGCCACTCTTTCAACTTGATGTGAAGAATGCCTTTCTCAATGGGGACTTGTAGGAGGAGGTGTATATGGACCTTCTAGCTAGCTTCTACAATAATGTGGAAAAAGGAAAGATATGTAGGTTGAAGAAGTCCCTATATGGTTTAAAACAATCACCCAGAGCTTGGTTTGACTGGTTTAGAAGTGCATTGGTTGTATTTGGCTATACTCAAACTCAATCTGATCATACTCTTTTTGTGAAGAGGAGGGGTTCACTGGTGTTAGTTTTGAAAGTGTATGTGGATGACATTGTAGTTAAAGGAAATGATTTGAGTGAGATTGCTACCTTGAAGAAGAATTTGCACAAAGAGTTTGAGATTAAGGATCTTGGGGAGCTGAAGTACTTTATGGGCATTGAAGTGGCAAGGTCCAAGCATGGGATCTTCATCTCATAGAGGAAGTATGTTCTAGATCTATTACAGGAAACAAGAAAGCTTGGGGCAAAGGCAGTTGATACACCTATTGATTAAAACCATAGGATAAATGCTTCAGAGGGTGAACTAGTGAAGGATGTTGGAAGATATCAAAAGTTAGTGGGGCGGTTGCTATACTTATGTATGACACGACAAGACATCTCTTATGCAGTGAGTGATGTGAGTCAATACATGCATGCCCCACGAGTTCAACATTGGAAAGCTATTGATAGGATATTTTCCTATTTGAAGGGACACCCAGGTAGAGGCATATTGTTTGCTGACCATAAACAATTGAAATTAGAGGCTTACATAGATGCTGATTGGGCAGGGTACCTAGATGACAGGAGATCTACATGTACTCTTGTTGGAGGTAATTTAATTTCATGGAAGAGTAAGAAATAGACAATTGCGTCAAGGTCAAGTGCAAAAGCTGAATACAGAGCCATGGCACATGGTGTTTCAAAGCTCTTCTGGATCCGCTTCTTGTTAGGGGAGTTTGGAATTGAAGTTGAAGAACCTATGATGCTATATTGTGACAATTAGGCAGCAATTAACATTACCCACAACCTAGTTCAGCATGATAGGACGAAGTATATAGAAGTGGATAGACACTTTATAAGGGAAAGGGTGACATTCGAAGAAGTTTGCTTGCCATATGTTTCATTTGACTTGCAGGCTTGCAGCTTGTTGATGTTCTTACAAAAGGAGTTGCAAGAAACAAACTGGAACATGATCTATGCAAGTTGGGAATGTGTGACGTTTATTCCCAACTTGAGGGGGAGTGTTGAGTTTTGGGTTGATATAACATGTTTTTTATTTACATAGCATAGTTAGGGAGTTATTGGGCCTTAGGCCCATTAGTTTATGTTTCAAGTTAAGAGTGTTTTTAGGTTCTCACAAGTAGTCGACTTACTAAGGGCATACTTGTCTTTGTACTCTCTTTTATTTATGAGTATATAATCTAATGAAAGGGGTGGCCAGACCTAATTCTGAGCTTCTCCCATTCTCTTCTATCTCTCATCTCCCTCTTTCTTAGCTGAAACCTTTTCTCCTCTTTCTTTTACAGTTTTTATATCAAAACAGGTTGTCCAAACCTCTACTTTCTTTATATCTGATCTTAGTTTTGCCAAATCCTAACCTATTCTACATCACATTGTGGTTTGAGCTTGTACCTGACCATATTGACATAATCAATTTGTTATGCCATATTGTAGCCATAGGTCGGTTGTCCTTTCATCAGGTTGGATGATCAAGAAACATCGGGTCAACTTAAATTAAGTTTAGGCTTGAATTAAGGCCTTGGGCAAAGTGAGATTTTGGCCTGAGAATTGGGAGTCTTGTCTTCAACAAAGCTGGTTCCTACTTCCTAGTTCACATCTTGCTAATATTGTAGCCACATTGTAGCCATATATTTTGTATGTTGTATATCCCACTTGGCTCAATCCAAATCAACTCAATGACTAAGCCCATGTTTGGGAGTGCTTATTTTGATAAATAAGTGCTTATCAGTGTTTGGTGAAAAAACACTTATTTCAAACAGGGGTAGTATATATATTTTTAAAATGACATGGCGGACCAAGATGAGCCAGAAAACAAATAAGCACTTAAGTAAAAATAAGCTCAAAATTTGGGCTTCTTGAATAAGTGCTTATTTTTAGGAATAAGCACTTATTCAGGCTTATTTTCCAAATGCAAATAAGTGCTTATTCGAGTAAGCACTTAAAAATACGCACTCCCAAACTTGGCCTAAGTTTGGATTTGAGTTGGTCAGTCAGGTTATTCTTTAGGCTGCACTGGATGTTGAATGTTGAGTATTCTCTTTTCTTTGAGCCAGAGTTTGCATCACTCCGATTTAATGGTTTAGCTTGCACGCCAAATTATATAGTTCATTTTTGTTTTGTTTTGTTTTTGTTTTGTTTTTTTTTTTGTTTTTGAAGGAGAGAAGGTAAAGTATAAAAATTCATCAATTAAAAAAAACCAGTACAACTAGGAGATGTACATTGGAGTAGTTGGAAATTGAAACTATATTGGGTTTTAATACTAGTGATAAGAGGTTATGCTTCACCTACTTTTAGATAGGGGTGTTCATGGGTCGAGTTGGGTCGGTTTGAGTCATTTTCTTCAACTGACCCGACCTAGTCAGTTTACTTATTGACTAAACCGAAACCGATCGACTCTGAAGCAAAATCGACCCAAACATAAAGGGTCGGTTTATCGGTTTAGTCGGTTTTTATATTTATTTTAAACTAAAATATCTATTAGACTGTTTCTAAATATCTATTTATATTTAAGTTTATTTCTTTTTAGTTTTTAATGAAAATCAAAATATATATTTAGATCGATTAATTTTTTTATGCAAAACTGATTTTTTTTGTCAATATATATATATTTAAATTTATACAAAACTGAATCGAATATTGTACCATTGTATTATATTTGTATTGGTTTTACGTTTTTAGTTTTTATCATAAATAACCAATTTTTTTCAAAGTTCAAACAAAACACAAATAAAATATATCAACATTTAACATATAGGGTAGGGACTAATTAATAATTACTTAAACATATAGGATCAGTTCGGTTTGTTTTCTCATACAAACTGAAACCGACTGGTGGTTTTGAAAGACCGATCAACTTGGGTTAGGTCAGGCCGGTTTGGTCAGTTTGACATTTAATGTGAACACCCCTACTTTTAGGTATTATTGAATAACTCAGCGCTCAATGATCCCCTTGCTGTATTCATAAAAAAAAATGATCCCCTTGCTGTCCAATAAAAAATACTGTATTCATGGCTTCGTACAGATGCTATTCAATAACATGAATACATTCACTGCAGGCAATACATCCTCTGTCAACTTAAATAAGAAATGTAAGTGAACCTTAAATTCTTCTTTTCTCATGCAGGTGCACAGACTGCTTGGGACATGCTTTATGAGGAGGAATTCATGACACGTATTACTACATCTTGTGCTGATCTTGATAACATTCTGGGCGGAGGAATAAGTTGCAAAGAAGTTACTGAAATTGGTTAGTTGTTTCTCTGTGATCCCTGTAATGCCATTTTGTGTGCAACAGTTAGTTCAATTTCTACTTTTCTTCATGCATGTAAGTTACCTACTAGTGAAAAAAAGGACCTTTATCAACTTGAATGGTTGCCTTTGACATGTAATTCTCCAGGTGGAGTACCAGGCATTGGTAAAACACAACTTGGGTATGGTTGCTTGTTAATTTCATTTATATGTTAAGAGTGGGTGTTCTACTTGGATGTTAATATATGCACAAATGTACAGGATCCAACTTGCAGTTAATGTGCAAATTCCAATTGATTATGGTGGCCTAGGTGGAAAGGCAGTTTATATAGGTATCTTTCAAAATTTCTTTTGAACCTCATGCAAATTTTGGAACTGTTCATTCTGTGGACCCCAACATTATGCTTACATGCTGACCAGATACAGAAGGCAGCTTCATGGTGGAGCGTGTTTTTCAAGTTGCTGAAGCATGCATTGAGGACATGCCATACAATTACCCACAGAAGGATTTTCAAGCAAGGAAAAACAAAATGCAGCCTGAGAATTTCCTAGCAAACATATTTTATTTCCGTGTCTGCAGTTACACTGAGCAAATTGCCCTGATAAATTACTTGGACAAGTTTGTTGCAGAGAATAAAGATGTAGGTAAAGTAGTATCTATAGTATGCTTCTTTAAGTTTCAAATTAACATGCCCTTCCATGGGGTCACCACACGGGTGAAATTGGTGATGGAAAACACCTTGTTAATTTCATTCTTCTGTGGTTGTTTTGTGGGGTTACTAATGGTGATGAGTCAGTACTGGTCGGGATCAACTTGTTTTCTATAATGGTTTTCTCTGATCCTGCCTGGGCTTTGGTTCTGCAATTTGAGCCTAACTTAACCCAATTAGAGTTGTACCGTCCCACCAAAGTAGGGTGCCTTGAGTTTTTCTATTAGTAATGGTATACTTATATTGAAATAAAAAGAGAGCACTACTGTTATTGATAAGAAAAGGAGAGTACTAATAAAAGGTGGCAATGTATCGCCTTGGGAAAACAGAAATATAAAACCACAAAATCCAACAAAATAAAGGAAACTGAATTATCATCAGAAAACAAGTCCAACTTGAACCAAAAATTAGAACCTAAAGCTAGATAATCTACATTCTCAAAATCTGGAAGAACCAATAACAAGTCCAATGGCTGTAAACAAATACCGGCCACAATCATCTTATTGTCTTTATTTATCCCTCAAAGTTCTTCTATTTTATTCATCCCTCAAATATCCTTTGTTTATATGATCATTTTTATTCATTAATGTCATTTCCTGGTTAAAACTTGGTAACCCATGAGGCTTAAGTGTCATGCTAGAGTCTTTCACCTCATGCATCTAAATGTCCTGTTGCTTTTCCTCATGCCTCTGTGTTTTCAAACATTAATATGGACAAAAGCAGCAAATCAGTTTTGATGCTTTACTCACTGATTAATTGATTTACTTATCCTTCTCTTTGTGCTTTTTTCTTTGCATGTTTCCTATGTTAAATGGTACTTTTTTTTTACTGTCCTAATGATTTTACAGGTCAAAAGTGTCATTGTTGACAGTGTGACATTTCACTTCCGCCAGGATTTTGATGATTTGGCTCTTCGTACTCGATTACTTAGTGGAATTGCTTTGAAGTTAATGAAACTTGCCAAAAAGTTCAGTTTGGCGGTAAATATTAATATCAATATCTTCACCATGCAAAATTGTGACCTTGTTAATTATAGCAACACTGCTTCATGCTTATCCACGTTGGCATAAATAGACCCATGCATACACCCTAGAACAAGCAAAATCAATTGAACTGCTTCATGTCCAAAATGGCTTTTTGCATGCCTGCAACTACTCAATCATTTGAGTGGTACAGTAATGAAATGCCTGCAAAATGGCTTTTAGCATGCCTGCAACTACTCAATTATTTGAGTGGTACAGTAATGAAATGCATTCAGCAATTGCATCATATTAAATTGTCAGGCTCCATATTTGAGTACTTTGTTTGGTATGTTCACTCCAAATATCATCATAGGAGAATTGCGAGAAGCTGTCCAGTGTTCTCACCCAATGTATCACCCTGTTCATAGTGTATTTCGTTACTGCTTCCTTACTTCTTTCCTTATCTGAAAAGATTCTTTGGTTCCATTCTTCCTAAATAGTCCAAATCATTGGGGCTCTTGTGCATCTCCAGAGAGTTCTACCCATTCTTTTAGGGCACCTAAAAGTAGATGGATCAAATAACCATTTCATCTCTAAAGGCTGAGTGGCCTGAGTCCACCTGCACCCAAATAAAAAAAAAATGCATGCAACAAATGGATAGGAGATTAGTAGCCAGTAATCTCACCATTAGCCTTGCAGAGAATATGCCAATTTGGGGATGCACTGAGAAAAGGCCTTTTTTGCAGATTATCCATAGTACTTATCTTCTCATGATAAATTTCCCAACAAAAAAGCACCACCTTTTTTTTTTTTTTTTTGGGGGGGGGGGCGGTGAGGGGGAGCAGACTTACACCATATTCTTTGAAGAGGAACTGCCGAAAAGGGGAGGAGGAACGACTGACTTGTGTGTTGATTGAACCCTAAAAAATAAGAAAACAATAAAAAGAAATAGTATATGAATTGTGATAGTATTATAAAGCTCAAAATGAATAATTTAGTAAAATAATGCTATTGTAATATTATAACCTCACAAAATGAAAACATAAAAAATATAATATGGTGCCTTGTATAAAAACAACTAGGCTCTTGGATGAGGTGATCCTCCTTGGATACTTAGTTGCCTAGGCATCACGGTGACAATTATGCTGCACATAAATGAGAGTCAAAGATATTTTATGAAATAGTTATAAGATCAGCAATGTTATATGGAGTGAACTGTGGAGCAATCAAGAAATCATGTTTAAGCAATCAAGAAATCATGTTTAAGGATGCTAAGATGGATGAGTGGCAAGACTAGGAAGGGTAGAATTACAAACGAATGCATCTAGAATTAGCCCCGACAGGTGACAAGATGATATTTGATAGAAGGTTGACTGAGATGGTTTGGCCATGTGTAAACAAGACTGATGATTGCACTAATGAGTGACTTGTTGCATTTTTACTAACAACATGGCTCTTGATAGAGTGCAATGACAAGGCATTGCACATGGCCAAACCATCTCAGTAAAAATGCAACAAGTATGACATTTTGAGTGTCTTTCTCAATAATGAGTGAGACAAGTATGAGTTGAGTCATTGCATGCATAGGCATCTGAGACAAGTATGACATTTTTGTGCTAGTATGCAACCAAAAACATTATATTCTTGGTCATCTTACTTTTCCTGGATATCCCTTCCCCATTCTCTGGGGTGAGTGGGGTGAATGAGAAAACCCTATATAAAATATATGCCTTACCATTTAGGTGGACCCCACACTCCTATTTGCTTATTATAGGCTCCTTTCCAACCAACCAATTGGACCATTACAGAATTTATATGGTTTTATCTTGAAAAATTAGTGGCCATTGTTAATGTTACCAGCTAAGGTGTATAGTAGTATATATCATTTTTATTTAACTACTTATTATCAATCTTTTTCTCTTTAACTACAATGTTATGGAGTTCATCAGATTCTACATATCAAGTATCAATCCGATTCCCTTTTAGTTTACTCTTTGCTTACTTTTCCCCTTTTCTTTGCCTCTCTCTCTATATATTATATTGTGTGTGTGTGTGTGTATACTAACATACATACATACATATAGTTATTCATCATGCTGTAAGATGTTCACTTTTTTTTATAATGAGGTCTTGAATAGCAATGTTTTTTTTAAACTCGACCTTCAGTCATGTCTTAAAAATTGACATATTTCCTTGGTGGTTTAGTTTTCCTTAAATGATCTTCCTAGTTATACATTTCCCTTGGCAGGTAGTACTGTTGAACCAAGTGACAACAAAGTTCAATGAAGGTTCATATCAGTTGACTCTTGCCCTAGGTAATTGTATTCTCTATTTTCTTTTGATATCCTAGTTAAAATGGTCCTCTGGATAATATTTTTCATGGACATTTAGTTACAGGTTTGGACTTACATGCTACTAATTTGGGTTTCAAATATTTGATGCATAGATACTTCTGGTGCAAGTTTGCATGTAAAATGTAATTAATTTTTTTTCACCATTTCAAATTGCCTTATGTTGTTTCGTTCCCCCTCTTCTAGTTGCTAAAAGAACTAACCTCATAGTTAGTTCTTAGTTGCTAGAAACCTCTAGAGAAAGTGCTGCTTCTATTTCAGAATATCAGTCTTGCTCTTGCATGACAAGGCAATTTTTTTATTGAAAGGTAAGACTTTAGTGGGCAAAGTTTAGTTGCTTTTATTTTCCTGTTTTAAGATGAACAAAATCCTGAGATGGGAAAAAACTCATTCTTAAGATGGATATCTGAGTGTCTTTAAATCATAAGAATCTGTTGTCCTTGAATTAATAGAGATCCTTATATCGAAAGGAAAGTGAGAACTCCAAAATCCTATAGTAACAGTTTTCTGAGCAGCAATGTCTACTGTGGATCATTGGATTAATATGAGGATTACATGCATGAAGATATGATCCCTGGGGTTTGGTGTGTACTCATTTATGTTTCATCAAAAGATTCACTGTAGTACTCAAGGGTAGGCTTTTTTTATCAGTAACTGGATTTTACTAATGATACCATAATAAGTTGAGAAATACACCTGCAGTAATTCAGAAAATATCGGAAAAGAAAGAAAGAAAGGAAGAGAAAGGAGAAGAAAGAGGTTTCAGCAGTAGGTTATGGAAGAAGAGAAGGGAAGAGAGAAAAGGAGAGTTTGAATCTCTCTCTAGCCCCCTTGATTTCTTTTATTAACTTAATTCTAAAATTAAGTACAATTACCTGGATGCCCTTAATGGGGCGGCCAGCACTAAAGAAATAATTAAAGAAACAAAAAAAGCCCATAACCAACAAACATAACCTTAAACACTACTTAAAAGAAATAAAAAACACTAAGGCCCATTCGGCCCATTCTCACTACATAATATAAAGTGTATATTTGCACAATATGTATATATTCTGTGTGTAAATGTACAACTCTACATAATAAAAAATTGTACAACTCTACATGGAATATGCCCATATGGCTCCCCAACCACTCCAGTAGTCCTAGTAGAGCTTCTCAAGTACAAGAAAAGCAAGCAATCTTATTGCAATGGATGTTCTCCCCACACCATTGCCTGTCTTCTGACAACCACATGGGATAATGAGTCAGTAAACATATTAGCAGATCGAGGAATAGGTGTTCCTCCCCCTCTACCATCACCTCATGAAAATCATAAGTGGTAGCCAGCTTTGATCCTTGAAGTGCAGCATGTAGTTCTGCCTGTGAGGAATTGCCCTGTTCTACAACCCCTGAGCTTGTAGGGTAAGGTGTATTGCCTCATACAGTCGTACTTTATAATAGAAAGCTATTGGTTGCTTGGCATTTACTGCCTGAGGTGGGGTCTCCATGGCTTTGGTTATCAATTTCATCTTTATCTCTGGTTAGGATGAAACCTTCAAATGCTTCCAAACATTTGAATCCAATCACATACAGGCATTGTCTAGGGATTGTTATGTTTCTTGCCCACATTCTTTCGCCTTCTAAAATTCCATCTGCCTACTGAAAAGGAACTTGCATATATAAATTTCAATGTTACTACTGTGCAGATGCTTTGTAAAAAGAAGGGAAAGAAATTATATTCTGATGTGTGCGTGTGTGTGTCTATATATATATATATAGTACCAGTCTCATATTTGTGGTGTTCAATTCTACTCATGCCAGATGCAACTACATAGGCTTTGTTGCTAGGTACATTGCTTAAATTTTACTTGTTGCAGTTACAATTGATACAAGGCCAATTTTCTGCAATACTACACTTTTGTTTAATAGATAACTGTTAAGCTTTATTCATCTGTACCATATAATGCCGATAGTTTGCCTTGGTTTTGGTGTAAGTCATAAAAGTTAAACTAGAGGATCATATCATATAAAGTTAATGGTTATATCTGGCACATATGCATAGCATGTACCCTTACACTAGTTGATAAAAGAGAATATTCTATATAAAACAGAAAGTGCCAACCACTCCCAAACAATTGTGTTAGCCATAAGCTTTATTAATTGATACAGGATTGCTGCAGCTACCTAGCCCTTTTCTATTGTACCTCGTGAGTTTATCTTGCAATTGAACCCAGAAAAATTGAGCCCTGCTACCCCTTGTTTTGCTATTGTGTTTGACAAACCATTGCAGTTTTTCTGCACCCATGAAAAACTGGTTACCAGGTCCCTAGCCAGATGTCTCATCTCCCTCAAAGTGCTTTATTGTTACAAACCTTGTTTTCCATTCCTTAGCCAATCCACTATCACCTTGGAATCCCCTTCAACGACAGCTTTCCTCCTGTACAAGTGAAGCCACAGGATCTGGCCAAACTTAGCCCTTATCAAACTGCTAGAACTTCCATCTCTAGTGGAGTCCCATCCCAACCGCTCAGTGGTCCATTCATTACTTTGAAAATGTTGCTTCACTTCTTCCATTCCAACCTTTTTCATTCTAATACTTCTATAGTACATGGTAATGCTGGAATCTGATGTGGTATTTTTTGTCAATGAGGTAGTAGGAACTCACTCCACTCACTCCATGGATATCTTTAATAATAGGTTTATATCTACATCTCTCTCTCTCTCTCTCTCTCTCTCTCTCTATATATATATATATATATATATATTTCCAGCTTTAAGCAATTCAGAACAAAAGGTCTGCTTAACCACCTCCTGTCCTTGTAAGCCTGTTAAATTCTGAGCTGTAAGAGTATATACATGTTCTCTCTCTCTCTCACACACAACCACCTCTTTTTCTGGTAGACAAGGTTTCTATACTTGCATAAGGGTACACTATTTTTTTCATTGTCAATCATTGGCTGGGATATGATCATTTAAATTTGACGTGCCTTGGCAGGGAAATTGTACTCTGGCACAGGATTTTGTGTTAATAAGAAAGATATCCATCTTCTTTCCACTTTACTGAGTTACATGTACAGAGTGTTTTTCCATTCGTGGATCGACTCCTTCAATGTCCTTGGACCATTGGACTACCATTATCAATATCATTTAGCCAGCATGCCCTCTCTCTTGATCTTTTTCATTTTTTTTTTCTCCACATCCTTTCATTTGTCAAAACCTTATTTTGTTGGTGAGATTTCGTGGCTTAATGTATTTGATTATTTGGAACAGGTGATAGTTGGTCACATGCATGCACAAATAGGATTATTTTGTACTGGAATGGAAACGAAAGATATGCATACATTGATAAATCACCCTCTTTGCAATCTGCATCAGCAGCATATTCTGTGACTGGAAAAGGGATAAGAGATGCAGCTTCACACTGTAAGAGAGTCAGAATAATGTAAGCATAATATACAGCAAGAAATATGCTGCTAGTATGATGTTCTGTTCTTTATTTACATGGTTACCTACGTAGCTTACTACTAGATGTGCAGATCAAGATGATGGGTAATTTTCTGCTCAAATTTTGGTTTTAATTAATCCTCCTGTTATCCTCATGAACCACTAAAGTTGGGCTACAAATCTGAAACGAGATGTCTGTAGGTAAACTTTTGAAGTTTTGTGCCCCTACATGAACCGTTTTTGGCCATCTCAGCCAACTCACCTTTTCTTAAGGATGATAGGGAGACGATTAACAAAGATCTTATATGAGGAGTTATGCTCTGTAAAAGCTAGGGTTACTTCCCAAAACTGAACCACAGCTGCAAAATTGTTTGTTCTGTAATTATTCTTCAATAAGTACTCAACTTCTTGTCTGCTGAATTGTTTGTTCAATGGGGATGAGATTATTTCATTCCCTTAATCACTTTGGTTGATGAAACTCTGTAAAATCGCATGCTGTTTCCATGAAATGAAGGATTTGATGAAAACTGAGGATTCTAAAAGCTCTCAAGGCTGGAAGCGAGATGTATTTGGGTAGCAATGAAAGACCTCATGACTCGTAACAGAAGATGTGGTACTTGATAGGGTAGAATGGCTAGAGGATGTGTAGCCAACCAAATAATTGGGAAGACTTTTTTGAGTTGGTTTACACACTCTGAAGCTCTTCTTACAATTGCGTAAAACTTAGGACCCATTGCAAAATTTCTTTGGCCAATGTATCTGTTTTTACAAAATTTGTTTGGTTTTTACAAAAGCCTAAACCTTATGGCCCATTGCAATAATCTTAACCAAGCGAGAGGCCTTTCTGCAAACTCTGCACAAGTATTAAAATGTCAAGCAAGAAGCCGAGAACTGAGAATAAGGGTTTAAATTTTTTTCAGAAGAGAGATTCTTCATTGGTTGCTGTTATATCAATGCTTCATGACGAGTTTAGCTACACGGGTTTATGATTTCACCTGCCGATAGAAATTACCCCAAGATGCAACTTTTCATGTCATCTTGTTTTAGAAATTCCTATGTTTCCACCTGCTTCTGTTGTTTTAGAAATTCCTATGCTACGACAAGAATTTATTTCTTGCTCCTCACAAATAATAGAGGCATTTGGCAAATTGTTCTTCGACAATATATTTTTGTTTTACAAAAACGGAAACTATTTGCATAATGAAACTATTTCTTAACATCAGTTATACAAATCCATTCCCATTAAGTTTAAAATTAAACATGTCACGTCATAACGATGTATTTAACATTGATCATTGGGGATAGTCTTCCAAGAGGAGATGATGGATGGGGATTGTCTTCCAAGAAGAGGTGATTGTTGCAATAGTTATTGATAAAAAAAAAATTATAATTTTAAGATGAAAAAATAGAGCATAATGATCCAATGTAAAAAAAAAGGCAACAAGGAAGACAAGCTTACCTGTGTGCGTGATTCTTGCTGGATGATGAGTTTCTGGTAGTTGTTTAGTCCTTGGCACATCCTCAACTTCTGGCTCCTTGGGTTTGCAGTGGTAGAAGGTTGAACGAATGAAAATGTGGGGATAGGGCTCAGAGAGATGAAGTTTATAATTGTGCATGAAATGACAATTTTGCCCCTTCTCTCATGTGGGAAGCGCATGTGTTCATAAATAACGGGGGACATTGTGGGAACCTTGTGTCCCCTAAAGAACATGTTCTTTGAGAGCATGGTTTTTAAAACCGAACCGGTCAGGGGTCTGGTTACCAGTTCGAATGGTCCGACCGTTCGACCCGAACAGCCGGCCCGTTTTGACAAAAAAAATTTTAAAAAAATTAAAAAATTGGAAAACAGTCAAAACCGTTTGAATGGTTTGAACGGCTGGTTCAGTGGTTTGCTGATCAAAATCAACGGTTTTGGGGGAAAAGCGATTTTGGAGGAAAACAGAACTGATCAGGTGACCGGTTCCCGGTTTTTCCGGTCCGACCGTTTGGTCCGGTTTTGAAAACAGTGTTTGAGTGTCAATCTGTCACTCCTGAAGAACATGTTTTTTGGGTGTTGTTCTCACTCAGGAATAGTTTATTTCTTGCTTTTTTTTTGCCAAACATGTTTCTGTTCCGCAAGAACATTGGAAACGAGAAAAACACTCTCGCAGAATATTGCCAAACAGGGCCTAAGCCTTTTGTAAGAGGAAATTCAGTATTCACTTATGGGTGAGTCTGTGCAATTCAACCTGTTCTAAATCATGTGTATCATCAATTATAAAATGTGGAGCTAAGTCTTTCACTTGCTAGCCGATTTATTTGCATCTTTCTCATGGTTCAATGGATCATTTTTAGGTGCTTTCTCCGATGGTTAAACGGTTATTGGGCCCGGTGCAATCATGTAGGTATTAATGCATTGGATCCATCAAAACTCTCAGTTAAGTATGAGTAGCTGATAGTACATAGTATTAGGATGGATGACCTCCTACGAATTCCTGTTGAATCCCAATAGTATTAGGATGGATCACCTAGACACTCAATAGATCTAAGCCAATTTTTAGGCATTCACTTAAATAATACAAGGTGCTAAACAGGTTATAAGGTCTCTGCTGGTTGTAGCGGAGATTTGAGATTGATGCAAGGTGTTAATTAGTATGTTGGTAAGGTTGCTGGTTGCAACGGATATTTGGGATCGAATTCTGCCTGCATCTGGGTTGGGGGGTTATGGGTAGAGGTGTAAATCGGGTCGTATCGCCTATGGCCCAGCATGATTGTATGGGCTGATGGGTGGTGCCGGCACGGCTTGGCACGACCCATATATATACAATATATATAATATAATATAATATATTATATAAACTATAATTATATAATAATATATAGTATAATATATCAATAAAATATAACATTCTTTTCAATTTTATTATACTAACTTATTTAATTATGATATATATAAGCAATTGTATACATTAAAATTCATATAAAATTAAAATTTTAAGTTTTTTTTTAATTTTTTAAATAAATAACTTTGGCCCAGTCCACAGCACAACCTGGCCCAAGGCTCGGCCTACGAACCAGCCTGACCCGTAACCCGACACGGACCCGCACAGGCTTGACCGTGGGCCGACCCCCAAAATATCCCAGGGGAGGGAGGCACGGCCCAGCAGGCACTTGGGGGATGGGCTATCCCCGTTATGTAGCCCTTCAAAAGAAATTAAAAAAAAAATACGGTTACTGGGCCTGTGGGCCAATTGAACAGTTGATGCATTGGGTCGTCTAACACGTATGAGGCCAAGCACATTACACATGCGTGCTGGTTGAGGGGGTTGGTCAACGGTAGAGAATATTGATGTTAGACCCATGGTATATTCGAATATGTTTCTCATGAGAGGACATATATGGATTTTGATTGATTTGATCATCACTGTTTAGTCCGTTTTTCATGGAATTGGAGTGGAGGGTGTCACGGTGACATTTCTCAATGGCAGTTTATTTCTACCTTGTATTTTTTTTTTTTTAAATTCTCATTTTGTCTTTAAGCTTTGTATTTTGCAGCTCCACTGGTTTCTTCTTTTTATTATCTAAAGATGGAGTATAAGAAGGGGAAAATAAAAAAATTCATTTACTAAAACATTTTCTATATAATTTTATAAATTTATTTAAGTCTAAAATACCCCTTATAGTTTGTAATTTATTAATTTAATCAATTTTTTTACTAAGAAATATTTATTTTGTCATCTAAAAATAGTAACATGATCATCGAAATTGAATATAAAATGTTCAAGTGCATGGGCCGTGATTGTTTGTTCCAAAATTTACCCCTAACTAGAGGTGTATTCGAGCTGAGCCGAGCCGAATAGTATCAGGTTTGAGCTCAGCTTGACTCGAGTTCGATTTTGAGAAAAAATATTTTATAAAAATAAAAATTATATATATATATTCAAACCGGCTTGCGAGCCTCATGAGCTGAGGTCTAGTAGGCTTGAGCTTGAGTTCGGTTGAAACCGAGCCGAGCTCGAGCAGCTCATGAAAAGCTCGGCTCATTGCCATCCCTACCCCTAACACTTCTTCATATAGAAAAAAAAATTGACCAAATAGTGGTTGCTCATGTATTATTAGGAACGAAAATGGTATTTTCATTTTTATTTTCTTTTGATTAAATTTAATCAAAATGGACATTAGGGTCAAACTATAGGGAGTGTTTTAGTAAAATGCAAACAATAGGGAAGGTTTTAGTAAATTCATAAAACTATAGGAGTGTTTTAACAAATTATCCCTAAAGGAAATAAAGAGAATATTTTAAAACATATATTTAGGCTTGTAATGACATTAAGTCGTTAACACAAGTCGATACTGCATCCATTTCTTCCGATCAAAACTTATAAAGTAAATTCGTTCCGATAATCTAAGGGTGGCACAATTGGATGCTGCACGCCTGCACCCATTCAGACCGCTCTTGGTTTGATAGAAAATAAGAGAAAAAGAGAAATGTGAGGAATTCTACCAAAACATTCTTTGTTTAAGCAAAATCAATATGGGAGAACATACAAACAAGAAAGTCTAATTTTTTACTTTTTAACATATATTACATTAAAATCTAATTTATTATATATATTTATATAATTATATAAATATGATATATTGAACTCAATATATATTATACTATAATCGCATTTGGATTTTAGTGGAATTGGGTGGAGTTGAATCCACATTCAATCCGATTATTGAATTGGATGCCGGATTGGATTTTAGACTTCTAGAGTCTGTTGACAGCCCTAGAATTTGTTTTACACTACTTGTTCTAAATTTGGATAAAGGGCGTGGGTAGATTAAGGTTGTTTCATGTGCATAGAAGACCATATACAATAATACTATACCTATTAGAAGGAATTGATCCATTATAAGTTGTTGTAGGGTATAAAAATCAAGCACAAAAAACCACTTAATAATAATAAGGGTAAATTACAAAGACCCCCTATATTATGGGGATAATGACAAAGATTCCTGTACTTTAATTTGCGATAAAGACTTCCTGAACTTTAACAGTTAGACAAAGACCCCCTTGCTTCGCTAGTGCTTTGTCAGTTAACTTCGAAAAAAAGATTATCATCCGATCGTTTAAGGTTTTCCAAATGCCCAAACTATCATTTTCTAATTTATTTTATCATTTTCTTTAATTTATGAAATTATCTTACTTTGTTTTCGATACTTTGTACTGTTTATTGTCATCTCCAATGGGGAAGATTCATTTACAAAAGGAGAGAGAAGAGATCAACAACATGAAGCCAGAAAATCAGAGTATGTTGTTTTCCCGGTCACTTTGTTAAAGCAGCATATCTCCATTTGGGTCAGTTAGGTTTTAAGAAATGGCAAGAAAAAGAAAATAGAAAAAGTTTAATAGGGCATTTTAATTATTTAATACTTTCTATCATTTGACTTGATGACCGAGGGGGTATTTGTCACAATGTAAAAGTTTAAGAGGTCTTTGTTGCAAATAAAAATATACGGGTGCTTGTCATTGATCTCGTAATGCAATGCGGGGGTCTTTGTAATTTACCCTAATAATAAAAAATAATTTAAGCACATAAAATTTAATAATGAATATGGCATAAATAAAACGTAAGATAAGATTTATGTAGCCCACCCATATGTTATTTTTTTGGTAAGCAAATGATAATAATTTTTTTTAAGCTCATGGTCATGATATTGGTGTCTATAATTTAAGATAAATTAATAAAAAATTAATGGGGGCAAAGCCTTAAAGGCTGATGGTCTATTATCAGCCATTTTGGCTTCTACCTACCACATTGGGCCTCATTTTTTGCTTTCAAGCACCAAAGATATGACCACGCTTTCCCAACCCCCCAACGACTCACCAAACCAAACCCTTGCGTCACTTCCTCCTACCGACCTAACTCCCTCCCTTTATAATAATCTCTGTACCTCTGTAGCATACCTTGGGCTTCCCCTTCCTGTTTTAGCTCAGTAGATGTGGCTAAAGGTTCTAACTATTTTAAATTTAATCGATCAAACAATATTTTTTAATTTGTTTTATTATTATTATACATTTATACGTATACGACGAGAGAGAATAAATGAACTAAAGGAGGAATGATGGTGGCATGGACGTGAGGCCATTTGATCCGTGGAGGTGGAGCATTTCTCTATTTCTCTTATGCAGGTTTTGGATTTTTGTTTAAATACAGATGTATATACATATACATATTCAATATTCACATTTATCGGGATTGAAATTAATTGAGATCGAGTGAGAGCTGGTCCGAGTTTTCGGTCGGACCGTGATTCTCTAAGCATTTTTTCTAAAAGAGGGCCAAGACCAAGAGGCAGCCTTCTTTATTTGGTAGGCGGAGTCTATGAAGTGATTGAATGATCTCTGACGTCCAAGCTCGGTGCAGGGACCCAGGACGACAAGGATCCATCTAAGATAGCCGCTAGATCTAGATATCATTGGATGGTCGATGCTCGACCCATTTGTTCAAGTCCGATCCGATCCGTTTTGCTCATCTTTTATTCAAAAACCAACAGCGAACAAAACAAGGAGAAAATTAAAAAAATAATAAAATGGAAGGCGAGCATTTCTCACCCATACTTAACGGACGGGATTGCTTTCTCCAGATCTAACGGTCAGATCGCGACTTCGCCTCGTGCTTACCGGAAAAGATTTAACTTTTGTTGATTTTCTCTTTATACCCAGACTCCCACCTCTCTCGCTTTCTCGTTGTCAGCTCCAACCAACGGGAGGACAGAGAACAGATAGAGTTCTGTTCTTCTCCAAACCTTTCCCTCTATTTGCTCATCAGCTGGACTAGTGCTTCATCCAGCTGCCCAGAACAATGGCTGCTTCCTCATCACTCACTGTCTCTCAGTCTCTCGTGGGTCGCACCAGAGCCCACCATGGCTCCACCACCACCACCCACTCTGATCGTCTTTCCCTCCCTGGTTTCAGCCTCAGCACCCTCGCCGGCCGAGGTATCAAGTCCTCTTCTTCTCCATCTTCTCTCGTCGTTGGTTCTCGCAAGCGTGTCAATTCTCGATCCGCGGTCCGTGCAGCCGCCGTGGAGACTCTTGACAAGACCGACACCACCTTGGTGGAGAACTCCATTAATACAATTCGGTTCCTCGCGATCGATGCTGTAGAGAAGGCGAATTCTGGTCACCCTGGTTTGCCCATGGGGTGTGCTCCCATGGGTCATATTTTGTATGATGAGGTGATGGAGTACAACCCCAAGAATCCGAAGTGGTTCAACCGTGACCGCTTTGTGCTGTCTGCTGGACATGGCTGCATGCTTCAGTACGCTTTGCTTCACCTTGCTGGATATGACAGTGTTAAGGTGCATGCCGATTCTGTTTTAATTATGTGCTGCTCTTGGTCTGTTTTGATTCTGTTCTGCTGTTGACTTTATTTGTTTGGGGAATTTTACAAACACCTTCCTGCATTTCTTGTATGGGCTCTATCAGATCTGCCTTCGAAATTTGTTTTTCACCTTTTCCTCTAAACTAAGCGAACTTACCTACTTTTGTCGACACTGGATCTGGGTTTCCGCCTTTCCGGAAGGTAAACAAGGACATTTTAGCTAACCCACAGCAAGAAAATGGGAGAAAAGAAAAATTACTTATATTGATCACTAACAGAATCCCCTGTGCTTTCTGATTCCTACAATCCTACTCTGGCGTATAATTTGTTTGCGAAAAGATTAGAGACGTAGATGAGCTGTTTGTTTGCTCAGATGACTTTGATTTTACATTATATATCATCTTTTAGTTATTCTCGTAAAATTTTTGCTTTTGTTTCTCATTTAAATCTTGATTGTGGACTCTTCTTCCTATGAGATTATTTATCTAAACTTATTGGGACTTTTTTATTCATCTACTAGGAAGAAGACTTGAAGAGTTTCCGTCAGTGGGGGAGCCAAACTCCTGGTCATCCCGAGAACTTTGAGACTCCTGGTGTCGAAGTCACCACTGGTTGGCCTCTATTCTTGAACACTAAATTAGTAAATTGCTCTACTTGGAGAAATAGATCAAAAGCCTGTGGACCCTTTTATATTTCCTTGTGTATTTTTTGTAGGTCCTCTCGGTCAGGGTATTGCCAATGCAGTTGGCTTGGCCCTCGCAGAGAAGCACTTGGCTGCCCGCTTCAACAAGCCTGACTGTGATATTGTTGACCATTACACGTAAGGGCATCCTCACTTTCACTTTTTTTTTTTGTTATGTTATGTTCCTGGACATACAGAACTAAAGGGTGTTCCTTGTTTGGTTTGTTGATGTTGGTACTTTCTTAGATATGTTATACTAGGGGATGGTTGCCAAATGGAGGGTATTGCAAATGAAGCCTGTTCCCTTGCTGGACATTGGGGACTTGGAAAGCTGATTGCCTTCTATGATGACAACCACATCTCCATTGATGGTGACACAGATATTGCATTCACTGAGAGCGTTGACACCCGTTTCGAAGGTCTAGGGTGGCATGTCATTTGGGTGAAGAATGGTAACACTGGTTATGATGAAATCCGTGCTGCCATCAAGGAAGCAAAGGCTGTCAAAGACAAACCGACCTTGATCAAGGTTACATTTCTAATTTCTACCACATTACTCATTTACTCATATTTCATTTTGCTCTGGGCACCCCATTTTTGATAATGCTGTCTCTTGCAGGTGACCACTACTATTGGTTATGGATCTCCAAACAAGGCAAATTCATACAGTGTTCACGGAAGTGCATTGGGTGCCAAAGAAGTTGATGCCACGAGGAAGAACCTTGGGTGGCCATATGAGCCTTTCCACGTGCCTGAGGATGTCAAGAAGTAAGAAAATTAAGATGCAATTCTCTCTCTCCCTAAAGTTGCCTAACGTGTAATGTTTAATGTGTTTGATTGCTTCTGTTTTTCAGGCATTGGAGCCGTCATGTCCCTGAAGGTGCTGCTCTTGAAGCTGAATGGAATGCCAAATTTGCAGAGTATGAAAAGAAATACAAGGAGGAAGCTGCAGAGCTGAAGTCACTCATTTCTGGCGAACTGCCTGCTGGTTGGGATAAGGCTCTTCCGGTATGTGGTATTTATGTGTTTTTGCTTACTATTCAAGTACCTTTTACTCATCTCATACGAACCTATGTATTAGTTAAATTAATGCAGTAGATAATTCTTATGATTGTTTGCTTCTTTTCCAGACTTACACTCCAGAGAGCCCTGCTGATGCCACCAGAAATCTATCTCAACAATGCCTTAATGCACTTGCAAAGGTTCTGCCTGGGCTTCTTGGTGGCAGTGCAGATCTTGCTTCCTCCAACATGACCTTGCTGAAGATGTATGGGGACTTCCAAAAGGACACACCTGAGGAACGAAATGTCCGATTTGGTGTGAGGGAGCATGGAATGGGTGCTATCTGCAATGGGATTGCTCTGCACAGCCCTGGCCTCATTCCTTATTGTGCAACCTTCTTTGTGTTCACAGATTACATGAGAGCTGCAATTAGGATCTCAGCTTTGTCTGAAGCAGGAGTTATCTATGTGATGACCCATGATTCAATTGGTCTTGGAGAGGATGGGCCAACCCATCAGCCTATTGAGCATTTGGCAAGCTTCAGGGCCATGCCCAACATTTTGATGCTTCGCCCAGCTGATGGGAATGAGACTGCTGGTGCATACAAGGTTGCAGTCCTCAACAAAAAGAGACCCTCGATTCTAGCTCTCTCCCGGCAAAAGCTTCCCCAGCTTCCAGGGACATCCATTGAAGGAGTTGAAAAGGGAGGTTATATTATATCAGATAATTCTTCAGGCAACAAGCCAGATGTCATCTTGATTGGTACTGGTTCTGAATTGGAGATTTCTGCTAAGGCTGCTGATGAACTCCGCAAGGAAGGAAAGGCTGTGAGGGTAGTTTCTTTTGTTTCCTGGGAGTTGTTTGATGAGCAGTCTGATGCATACAAGGAAAGTGTCCTCCCAGCAGCTGTTTCTGCCAGGGTTAGTATTGAGGCAGGAACAACGTTTGGGTGGGAGAAGATTGTTGGAAGCAAGGGAAAGGCAATTGGTATTGATCGGTTTGGTGCAAGTGCACCAGCAGGAAAAATATACAAGGAATTTGGTATAACAGCAGAGGCTGTTATTGCTGCAGCTAAATCAATGTTAGGCTAGTATTTGGTGTTCCATCATCTTCAGCTTCTTTGGCATTTTAGTTTTGGGTCTTCTTTCCCCAAGTTTGAAAAATACAGTAGAGAAGAGGCTACTTTTGGAGATTGAGCCAGTAAATGGCTTCTTGGATGATAATAATAAGAAAAGAAAAAAGAAAAGAAACTTTTTCCCTTGCCTCACATGTTCTTCTTTGAAGAAGTTGTCTCCAAACTGAATCAGGACGAAGATGAATTTTCATGCTATGTGTAACACCATCTCTCTGAATCTACTTGAGTTTTGTAATTTTTCAAGGTTATTGCGTATGGAGCTTCTAATTATTCTGAATTACATTTTTTCCTTAAAAAGAAATCCTTCCTTTTATATGATTGATCTTCTTTGTGGGGAAAATTAAGAGAGTTTTATTTTCTAACAATATGGAACGACACCTTGTGTTTGCACGGGCATGCATTCGTTTGAAAACCTTTGAAATCAATTATCTTCTTGAATTGGAAAGAGTTTTTCTTTTCTTCGTTTTAGTCCATTCAAGAAAGAAATTGCTATTTGAAGAAACGGCTTTGACCTGTGAATGGATGGATGAATGTTTGTGGGGCTGAATTGGATTGAAGCCATGCACTAAGGCTAAGATTGTCAAATAATAACTGGGTTCGCAAGGCAAGTCATCTTTCATGAAAGGATAAGGCGGTTTTTCATACCTTTCTATGAATGGCGTGGAAGCCTTCTTTACCACTAAAAAAAAAAAAAAAAAAGAAAGAAAGAAAGAGAAAAAAGAAGGGCGCTTCTCAGTCTCAGGTGGTGAGGGAAGAAAAATTTTAATCCTTTAAATAGTGTGGTTGGTGGAAGCTCGGGGTGCTAGGCTCTTAGCTACATTATCCACCACTCTTCAAACTTAAAGAGGGAGGAAGGTTAGTGTTACAGGAGTCACAGATGTATTATCGCCACTTACCTCCCTGTCCCATGTCCTCTGTTTTCAATTTTAGTGTATTGAAGGGTTTGGTTTTAGCATGTTCAATGGGACCCAATTTATTTTTGGTAATTGGAATCTCATTAGATGATTTCAGCATATTCTTCTCTCTCACATCTCTCTCTCTCTAAAATTGCTGAAATATTGACTGAAGTTTTTGAAGTGGTATTTGCCTATCAAAGTCCAGATGCATCCTTCCATTTTGTCCATCCTACTTTAATTTTAGGGCAAATTTCTTAAACTACCTTTATGGTTTAGCTAATTGACTAAGTATACCCTTATTGTTTGACTATTGTCTAACGCTACTCTTACTGTTAGCATCTATTGACTTTCCATTAGATGTGATATCACATGATTAATATATTTTATAAAAAATTCCTAAAATATCCTTTCCACCTCCATTCCTAAAGATACCCTTTGACCTTTGTTCCTAAAATACTATCCCTAAAACCTCTTTGTCTCCTCGTTCTCTTCTCCTAAACCATTGGAGCTGCTAGAACTGTAGATTGGACAATAGTAAGACTCCTCCAGTTATGGCCTCTAATGTAGATCAGACTCCTCCAGTTAACATTTTCATAAATTATTAATTAATATTTTAATATGCATTAAATAGCAACATATTTATTATTTACAAAAATAAAAATATTATTTACAACATATTTGAGAATATAATATAAATTGAATTTGCCAAATATGCTAATCCACTTTCACATCAAAAATTTTTTTTTTTATTTCATAAAATTTATTTAAATAAAAATATTATTAATGGAATAATTATTTTAGTAATTAAAAGTTATCAATTTTCATATGACATGTATCTTAGAAATTTTAATATATTTAATATATTTTAAGTTAAAATTATAAAAATATTATTTACCAAACATTTGAGAATTAATTTTTAATTGACTTCTTTTGTTAATGTTAGAAATTAAAAATAGTAAAATAGGAAATAATGGATATAATAGTTGCATGTTTTGTGCATTGAACTTCAATAGAAAATAATATAATAATAACTGTGTGCATGTATTAATTTGTAAAAAGAAATATAATATGTTCTAGCACTCTTGATTGATACATTATCAATAAAATTGTATGATTTCTATGTATCTCGCTATATTAATTGCAATATATTTCTTCACATATACCATTAGAATATACAATTTCTATGTATTTATACATTAATTGTGGCTATTTTGACTTTAAATATAGTGTTATTAATATATTTGTAGAATTTATATGCATTTCCTAGTGTATCCAAGCGTCTCCATATTATTCTTTTATTTGTATCCATGGATTTTCAAAGTGTATCCATATCTGAGTGGTTCGATATGATACCCAATACTGATACTTTAATCATTGGTCAAAAAAAAAAAAATTGGCTCATTTTGATTATGACTTCTAGTTGAACCAAACAACAACAATTGAAATCTAATTCTGATTGCCAACTAAACCAAACAAGTGTTGGGAATAGATGATTCTGATTTTGATCTTGGTTATAGACCAAAACTACCAAAAATACTAAACTTTGATGAAGACCCATTGCAACTAAAAAATTTGATTTCTCTCCTAAAAGTATTCTAACATTAGTTTTTGCACCCTCATATATATCCTTAATTAGAGGGTGTATGTACCTATGCAGGACTCCTTTCTTTTCTAAAACCCACCATATTACCTCTCTAAGGACTTTATTATATGCTTTCTCTAGATTAATGAAAACCATATTACCTATTTGGGACTCATTTTTTCTAAAACCCACATTACCTCTTTATGGATTCTATCTAATGCCTTCTCTAGATCAATTGAAACAATACACAAATTTCTCTTCTTCTTTGAATTTTTCTATCAATCATTCTAATAGACAAATGGCTTTCATGGCTAATCTCCTTGGCATAGATGCAAAGTATCTTTTCAAAATATTTGTTTCATGCCTTGATCTTTTGTCAATTATTCTCTACCTAAGTTTTATGGTGTGGCTCATGAGTTTAATTTTTAAATAAGTATTACAACATTGTATATATTTTTATTTATTTTTAAATATAGGCACCATAATGCTTTTTCTCTATTCATTCATTGTCATTTCTTTTGTTTTCATTATCTTATTAAATAGTTTAATTGCCCATAATAAACCTCTCTCTTCCACACCTTTTCACACTTCTATTAAAATACCATTAGGTCCTAATATCTTTTCCTTATTCATCTTGTTTAGTGCCTCCTTCGTTTTGGTAATTTTAACTTTACAAAGGCATGTTAGTACTATTAAACTTATTGATCCTTCATCCATTGATACCCTCTACATGTTAATACATTTTCAAAATATGCAAGGTGCCAACTTGGGATGAAATTCCACTTGTTGCTAGGGTTGGGGGAAGGGCTACCCCTTGTTGTGTAGTCCATGGAGAAAAAAAAAAAAAGAAGAAACAGAATATTTTCCATCTTCAATGCATCTAACTTGATTTATATCTCTGTTTTTTCTTTCTCTAATATTTTTCAGTATAAAAACTCCATTCTTTGAGTCTTTAGTGCCTAATTTATAATGTAGTTCATCTTTAATCTTTTGTCAATTTTTATAGCATGTTCATTTTACCTTAATTATATTTTGAATATCTTCATTTTACCACCAAGTTTTCTTCATCACTTTGTCATTCTGTTCAATTTAATGCATAAATCCATTGTCATATTATAAGCGCTTAAATCACTTTTTACTACTTCGGCCCTACTAATAACATAACATGTAAGTATGTAACTAGAAAATGGATTCGTATACAAAATCCCAAGGGCTGATTTGGCACTTTCCTCACTTTGCTTTGAACAGGCATGGATTTGAACCCATGAAAATGCAAGCACTGTATGTATCCCATTACCCTATTTTTTGGTGTAGTATTCCGCTATCTACAGGTTTAGTGTGTTAACACCAGATTCCTATTTTTAGATTCATTGTTGGGGATGTGGTTCAATCTTTAATTGACACAGTATGTTAGTTTAGGTTTCCAAATCAGATAGTTGTGTTCACAAAATCAATAAGGTTGTGTCTTTGGCCTAACAAATCTTTTCTTTATTAACATAAATTATGGGTTGACTGACCAAGGATAAGAATAAAGGAATTTAGTAGTGGCATATCCGGAGGATTCCCTTTTAATGGATAGATGAGCAGCCTGGATTAGCGCCAACCATGCTGGAACTCTGATCTTATCTTATGGCCAACCAGTTTCTGAGTTTCCCCAATCTTGTCCGCATCCTCCACCAACCAAAGACAAAGAAAATAGTGAGGTAGGAACTTTGGCCCATAATGAAGAGAGAGAGAAAGGGGGGGGGGGGTGGTTGAATTATTGTGGGTGGAAAGTCTAAGATTTGAATAAAAGAGTAGTAGGTAAATGGGTCTTCCCGGCCCAAGCCGCTGAGCGCAGCAGCCCTCCACGGCTCCGGCTCGCATATGGACCATAGAAAAGCCCATGTGGTTTCCGTGGTGAAACCGTGGGCCCATCACCATATCTACCCCCAAAGAAAACGCTAAACGTGTGCACCCCTCTTCGCTCTCACCATCTCTCTCGTGTTTGGGGGTTGGTGGAGGCGTGGAGCTAGACTAATATGACTTAGAGAGTGCTGTATGCAGACAAAAGAATCCGAAATCCGAGCTTAACGTGCGCACCCCCCTTGGCTTCCTCTCTCTCTCACTGATATTTCTGGTGGGAGTTGGTAGGTAAGACGCCCAGCGCCAGCCCACTGCAGACTCGAACCGAAATTTAAGGAGTGTTTCTACTTTCTACTTATCTTCTCTCTGAAAACATTTTGAACAGGGAGGAATTAGATGGCGCACGTTAGCAACATTGCGAAGGGCATCCGGAGCGGCCATTTCTCTGGTAATCTCCCGAGAGCGGAGAAACCTAGGGCTTCTCTATGCTCTGTGTGGTTGGGATCAGAAACTAATAAGAGCTTGGGTTTTGGTGGTCTCAAGTATGAAAGGAGCGGTCGAGATTCCGTTCTTTCCGTTAGGATTAATCGTTGTCGTAGGGTGGTCTCAGCTTCTGTTGCCACCACTGAGAAGCCGTCGACTGCACCAGAGATCGTTTTGCAGCCTATCAAGGAGATCTCCGGTACTGTCAAGCTTCCTGGTTCCAAGTCTTTGTCTAATCGAATTCTCCTCCTCGCTGCCCTTTCGGAGGTAAATTTTTACTTCTTTTTGTTTTTAATTTTGTTCAGAGTTGTAAGGTTGAATTCGACTAATTTGTATAATAATCTGGTTCTAGGTAATTGTGTTACTGAATTGTTGATCTTGAATTTTGGATACTAGATTCGGAGGCAACTTTGTTCACCTTGTACCAATATGTTTGAATATGTTAAAAAGAAAAGAGACTTATTTGTCAAAATTCAAAATTTTCATTTTTTTAAGGCGGGTGTAGTCATATTTGTTGTTACAGTGTTGGATTACCCATAGGACGTCCAATTTTGCTTCCTGTCACACTTATGCCTTCCTAAGTAGCTTATCTTATTTATGGAGATTAGCCAGTTAGGACATGTTAATAGCGGAATCTTAATAGAAAATGGCTGTTGGGTTTTACTTTTACAAGAAAAAATGTGAAATGTACGAGTACATCTGGTCTAAGGATACCAATTTGATATGTTCTCCTCCAGGGGTTGTTAGATAAAGGGAAAATCTATGGTGCCGGAAAGACATGGTACCTAAAGAGCATTGACCAATCAAAACCCACCTGTTAATTTTGATAAATATCACTTGATTGGTTAACACATTTATGATACTGGTTGATTTGTCACAAGTTTTTTGGATATCATGTCTTTTTGGTATCATAGTCGAACCCTTTTCCCAATTTTCCATTTTTTTCGTAACTTCCGATTGTCATTATCATTATCTTCATCAGCATTATTGCTCTTGTTGTTATTGTTATTCAATCGATCTGATATAGGACAATATGTTGCTTTTGAATTTTCCTTGTCATTCCTTAATAGTGATATTCAGACAATCTAATGTGAGGGAAATTCTGGTCTAACCAATTCTTGCCTTGAAAGTTAGCTGCTCATTTTAGGGGCTGGTCGTCAATGTTTATGATTTAGTTTTTGAAAATAAAAACAGCAGCAATATCAGCAAAAACAATATGCACATTTTATTGACACCTATAATGGTAAAGGAATCGTGTCCGTTATAGGGCCAAAATTTGCTAATCAAGCTGGTTATACTTGAGAAATCTTTTGGAATTCACAATTATTTATCTCCTATCTTCGATGAAATTTTGGCTGCCCAGGCTTCCAAAATGTGCATTCTATTTGTAAATTGTCATGTGTTCTGTCATCAGTGACTTCCCAAGGTGAACTATATCATGACAATCTTTAACATCTAAGCATTGTGTCATCAATCCTCCAAAGGGTTTTGAACTTTATAGGGATGCATGTAGCTCCTTGAATTGACCCCATAAGAATAAACGGATAAACCATTGTCTTTTTTATCTCCACTATATTTGTTCTTTAGGCTTAGTTTGGAAGGAGTACAAATACAAATATGTAGATTGCAAATCCTTATATTTTGTATGTATTTGTATTGTGCATATTTGTATTTGTACTCCTTCCAAACTGAGCTTTAGCATATATCACTTTCTTTTTCAACAATTCCTTCCAGGAACCTGAAATGATGTTGAAGGACTCTTTTTGTATGTTCTCATCAGGGGACCACAGTTGTTGATAATTTGTTAAATAGTGATGATGTCCATTATATGCTTGGTGCATTGAGAACCCTTGGGCTACGTGTGGAAGAAGACAAAGCGATGAAAAGAGCAATTGTGGAAGGTTGTGGTGGACAGTTTCCTGTGGGGAAAACGTCAACAGAAGAAGTTCAGCTTTTCCTGGGAAATGCTGGCACAGCAATGCGTCCACTGACAGCTGCAGTTACTGCTGCGGGTGGAAATGCAAGGTCTGTCCATCTTTGCTTTATAAAGTTTTGCAGACAGGTTTATTGTCTACTATGGCGATACCATAAATTATCTTTGTTCTTTTATGTTCTATTTGCAATGGGGTTAATTTGAGCATCATTATAACTCTAAAAAATAATAATGTACATATATTATCAGTATAATATGATTAATATCCTCATCTGAAGCATCATCATAACTAAGCAAGGCTTTTAAAGAAAAGAATTTACTTTCTATCCATCCAAGAGCTCTGCATTTAAGTGAGTATTTATGCAGTTGAATGCCATCCACTCGGGTTGACTTTCAACCAAGAGTGCAAGCCGGGTCAGGTTAGGTCAGGTTGAGGTCAACCCTAACCCAAGGGTTAGTTTGGTTTGGGCCGACTTCACTATTTCCTTTTCCCAAATTTTCTTATTTCCTAGACTCAAGGGTTCAAGTTAATTCAATTTTAGCATTATTATGTGTAAAAGAACATAGTTATCATGTTTTAGAAAAAACTTGCCTTTGAACTTTAAATTTTTGACATACAACATACATACTAAAATACACACAGACATGCATGCATACATATAGATAGATACATACATACACACAGAAACACAAATACTTGCAAAAAGTAAAAACATGTGAATGCATAGTTGCATATACATATGTGAATACATACATAAATACATGAACATCAGTATTTACATACATAAATACATGTTTATATAATATTATACATGCAAATATGAAGTTAGGTCGGGTTCAGGTTGGTCAAGGCCTCAACCCTAACCCAACTTGAAGTTAAGTCGGGTTCATACATACTTTTCAACCCTAACCCAGACCCAAGTTGCAGTCCTACTTTCAACCTTACCTTTTGTACTTTGGTTGCTCTCCTTTACTGTTAGTACTCTCCTCAAGCTGAATTTTACTTTTATCTTTATGAATTTCAGATATATCCTTGATGGAGTCCCCCGAATGAGAGAGAGGCCAATTGGAGACTTGGTTACAGGTCTGAAGCAGCTTGGGGCAGATGTTGACTGTTTCATGGGAACCAATTGTCCTCCTGTTCATGTCAATGGAAATGGAGGACTTCCTGGGGGAAAGGTGAGGTTTACAATTAAGCTTTTGGTTTCAAAATTTAGTTTTGATGCTGATCACCTATTGAAGTAATCATTTGGTTAATCTCCTATAATGTATATTGTCATATCTTTTTGTTGTGGTAATACAGTTTTTAGTTGGTCATAAAACTCATAATTAGTAAAGCTCAAGCTCACTATTGGTGTCTGGTATTTGTCACCTGGACTGCATGCACCTAATTTTCATTAACCTGGAGCAAGATTGTAACCTTTTTCCACTTAAAATAAGGCAAGTCATAACCTTGAGTTGTGAGCTTTATCCTGCAGTAAATTGGAGTGCAGTTAAAATGAACAGCTATCTTCTTATAGATTTTAACATGTTGGGGCTAGATCTATTGTATAGAATTGTGAAGAACTCAAACCAAGTTTTTTCCCCCACCAATTCTAAACCCTACTTGAGGCAGGGTAATAATAGTACTAAACCAACTTATGTGGATCCCCAAACCGCTTCACATTTAATGTGGTTTCTAAAAACCAAATAAGACCGAAGAGTTGGCTTATTTGCTACATGCACTTAAATTCTATTGTATAGAATTGTCAAGAACTCAAACCAAGTTTTTTTCCCCACCAATTCTAAACCCTACTTGAGCCAGGGTAATAATAGTACTAAACCAACTTATGTGGATCCTCAAACCGCTTCACATTTAATGTGGTTTCTAAAAAACAAATAAGACTGAGGAATTGGCTTATTTGCTACATGCACTTAAATTCTGCAACCTGATGCTGGTGCTCCAACCACTTCAAGCTTTTAAGGTGATATCAGTCTCTTAGTTTGAAGTCTACATATTTGTTCAGTGAATATAGATTATGCTTATAATTCTTCCTTACCATTGTCAAAGCAACCCATATGGACACTCAAATAAGGACTCTTAACTCTTAGAACAACTCTAACAACCCATCCCCACTCCTATTAAATCTAAACAAATCAAAAACAATTCCTTTAGGAACCAAGAAAATATAGTAAGACAAATACTGTTACAGACTAAAACCTATCAGTAAAACAACCATAACTCTCGTAAAACACATCAGATTTACTAGACATTAGTTGCATGTTAAAGGCCCCAGAAGAGTAAGGGGCAAGACCGAATGGGACATGGATTGAAGTTGTGAGAAATGATTTGTGCGTCCATAATTTAACAATGGATATAGCACTGAACAAAGTGGAATTGCGGAACATATAGTTGGGACAAGGCTTAGTTGAGTTGAGATAGATAACTAAATAACCTATTGAATGACATCAAAATTATGTAAAATGGATAAGTTTTAGCCCGTGAAAATAGGCTAAAAGAAAAGTGATATGATTACAACTTTTTAAAATTCTAGAACTTTCTTGGAAACACTTACAAAACTATAGAATTGCCATTAGTTTAAGAATTTGATTACTTCTTTCATTGTTTCTTTCCCCTTTCCATGTCTGCATTGGGGTTGGGGGGGGGGGGGGGGGGGGCGGGGGGCATCTATTTCTTGGGTTCTTTGTGGAACAAACTAGCATTTGTACCTTTTCCATTTGGGGATCCTGCTTGTAGTAGCGGAGACTCCAACTTCACCTAATATTGTGACAAGCTTCCATGTAGCTAAACAACTAGGCACCTAATATTGTGACAAGCTCTCCTTTGGACTATATAGCAAGAGATATCTGACCTTGTAATTTTTGAGCTGGGCTCTAATATCTTGTGTACAATATACATCTTCTCACAAACTTTTTTTTTTCTTTTTATTGTTAACAAATTAACTGTTATCTTCCTCACAAAAATGAAAAAAAAAGTCTACCTATATTGTTTAATTCATAATCCACCTGTTCTCTACTTTTTCACAGGTCAAGCTCTCTGGATCTATTAGTAGTCAGTACTTGACTGCTTTGCTCATGTCAGCTCCTTTAGCCCTTGGAGATGTGGAAATTGAGATTATTGATAAACTAATTTCCATTCCTTATGTTGAGATGACTTTGAAATTGATGGAGCGCTTTGGAGTTACAGTTGAGCATAGCAGTTCTTGGGATAGGTTTTTCATCAAAGGTGGCCAAAAGTACAAGTAAGTTTGATATAACATTTTACCACCTTAAACAATTTGGTTCTATTGCATTTAATTCATGTGGAAAAAAAATCAGGTCTCCTGGGAATGCTTATGTCGAAGGTGATGCATCAAGTGCTAGTTACTTCCTTGCTGGTGCTGCAGTCACTGGTGGTACTATCACTGTGGAAGGTTGTGGGACAAGTAGTTTACAGGTATAACTCGTGGTTATATGTTGTCTTAAAGCCTTTGTGATCTACTTATTCTGTTCGTCTCTGCTAAGTTAACACTATTCTTAATCATTCCGCTTTTTCCTGTTAATGTAGGGAGATGTAAAATTTGCCGAGGTTCTTGAAAAGATGGGAGCAAAAGTCACCTGGACAGAGAACAGTGTCACTGTTACAGGGCCACCCCGAGACTCCTCCAGCCGGAAACACTTGCGTGCCATTGATGTAAACATGAATAAAATGCCTGATGTCGCAATGACCCTTGCTGTTGTTGCACTTTTTGCTGATGGTCCCACAGCCATTAGAGATGGTATGATTTAGTTCATGGGGAATAGTTTCTAGGAAGGCCCATTTAGTAATGAGAATTTTGGGATTCTCTTGTGCATAATTCTCTTGTACAATAGGATTGGATACTCATATCCCTATTCAGTTTCCATTTTGGAAATATCCAGACAAAAAAGCGAGGCCAACCAAATATAATGATTTTAGAATCCAATGCCTTGGTGACTCTTCAAGACAGGACATTCTGTTTTCTGACTGCCAGAAAATGTTGTAGATCAGATGACTGTTATCATCTGGTCAGAAAGTGTTCTTTCTTTAATGCTTTAATGATCAGATGACTATGATCATTTAAGAGACCTTGTGTCTTGTGAATGGTAGTTATTCCTAATATATGACTACATGTTTCTGAAGTGTCAGAGATTAGTCTTAGTCTATTTCTATTAACCCCCCCTTGTCTTCTTTATTATCAGTGGCTAGTTGGAGAGTGAAGGAGACTGAGAGGATGATTGCCATTTGCACAGAACTCCGGAAGGTTGGTATCTTTCCGTTACCCTATCATTTTTAACTGCCTAGATATTTCCTGGTAACATTGTTGAAATTCCTTCTCTTTTGGGTTGTTTGATAATAGCTGGGAGCAACAGTGGAAGAAGGGCCTGATTACTGTGTGATCACTCCACCAGAAAGATTGAATGTCACAGCGATTGACACATATGATGATCACAGAATGGCCATGGCATTCTCTCTTGCTGCCTGTGCAGATGTTCCCGTCACCATAAAGGATCCAGGATGCACCCGGAAGACCTTCCCCGACTACTTTGAAGTTCTCCAGAAGTTTACAAAGCATTGATAGCTTCTTGCGTGCAGAACAAGCAAAGTTAAGAGGCTATCTATGCTACAGGCAAGTCACACATATAAGGCTATATCTCTGCCAGTGGTACTGTTACAGTAGAGAATGTAAACCAACGCCTTTATTACCTTGTAATCTTTCATGGCTTCTGTGTGGCCATTGAGGCAATTTATTGTTTGTGGACACTGATTTGAGTTCATTCCTTACGCAATATTATTTACAAATTTCATCAATCATAGTATTAACTAATGAGGCACTTCAACTCCTTTCACAAGTTTCTGAACGTTAGACGCGAAATTTGATCATGTAGAACTGATTTTTTTTTTTTCTTTGGTATTTGGTGGCTAGGGGCGGCAATTTTTCACCCAACCTGTTGAACCCACCAAATTTACCCAGTGTCTAACCCACCCAATACACCCATTTATTTGGCGGGTTGGAAATGGGTTGATCACTGATTGGGTCAATTTCAAATGGTTGGGTTGGGTTGGGTTGTGGATAACCATTGGGTTAATCATTAAAGATACAAATATGAATTCTTTGGTCTTTTTTTTTTTTAATTTTTTTCATTTGAGTAAAACAATTTATAATTAATGTATTAATTAATTATTAAAATTAATTTTTCTCGAATTAATACACTTCACTTGAATCAATTCAGCTTGATCTGAATATGAACAGACCTAATCACCTTGGTTTGATTTGTTTGGGTCGATCAGCCTAGTAACCCAACCTGATTTAGTATGGAGCGATTTGATCCGACTTAAATCCTGAACGGTTTTGGGCAGACCGATCAACCCAGATCCGGTTTGATCTGGCTTGAAGCAACCTGGCCCACCTGCTTTGGCATGTTCCAATGCGACCATACCTGAATCACAACAGTTACAAACAAAACCGGTTTGGGCCAGATCCAATCCAACCTGAAGACACATGACCCACTCGTTTTTGGATCCACTTCGGGTCGACCCGACCTGGTTCCGCATCGGTAACCAAGCCGGTTTGGCTGTATCCGATCTGACCTGAAGCGACATGATTCACTCGTTTCGGGTTTCAAGTCAGACCAATCGAATATGTGCAGCCCGACCCAGATTTGGACCAGCACGCCCCTGCCCTACTTCGAACTAGTCAGAATATGTGCACAATCCGATACGGGCTGGTTGGAGTCAATCTGCTATTGACTGAACTGGTCTAATTTGGTCCGACTGGACTGATCATAATCCAAACAGTTCAACCACTCTTGATATGATTAGCTTGAAGACAAATCCAATTAGATCGTTCAAGTTGGTCTAACTGATTTGAACCTAAGTTGTTCAATCAAACCTAAAACCTGAACATAGTCAATAGCTTCGCTACTTGTGTAAAAGAAACATGCATGTCATGTGATTTGAACCTCCACCACTTGTGTAAATAACAACTATTATTACCACCAAGTTATGACCAATTTATTTGTTAAGTGAGAGTTAGTTTTTAGTTTTAAGTACATAAATATAAGACTAATGGGTTTGGGCGGGTTAAATTGAGTAAAGGCGGGTTTGAGTTGAACCCAACCCATTTAATTTTATATAATTGGGTCATTAATGAATTGGTGGGTTAGATGGAATGGGTTGAAACTCAACCCAAACCAAATCTAACCCAACCTGCCCAATTGCCACCGCTATTCGGTGCCATGCACCCTCAGTAACTTCCCCTTGACCCCTTTTTCCCCAAAGTACTGGTTCAATTCTGTATCAATACTGGAACAAACCAGCTAACACACCAAGGAGCCAGCCCTCGGTTGGTATCATGTAGAATTGATATAGGGATTTATGGCGTAATAAAAATGAAATCACTGGGGGAGATGGGAGTAGCGATTGTCAGAAAAATATCAGGCATTGTTGCAACCCACCACGTACCCCTCAATCCAATTGAGCTGGAAGCCTGGAATTGCACAACATACTAATGAATGATCTTAAAAATATATAAGGGTATTTTTAGCATTATGCATAGAAGAGTCACAATATTTAGAAAAGAGGTCCAAGAATTCAGAAGGGGCCGGTAGTCGTAGTCCTCTTTCTCGGGTTTTTTTATTTCAGATTTGAATCTGAAGGTTCGTAAACCAAAGCTCTTTAAGCGTACGATCCAAGAGAGGAACCCTATATGCAAAAATATCAACAGAACTTTTATTGCCTTGGTTCCAAAATGCAAGAGGCCTGAAACCCTAGATAAGTTCAAATATATTAGTTTGTGTAATACCATTTATAAAGTTATTGCAAAAATTCTAGTAAACAGATCGAAAACCTTTCTACCTAAACTCATAAGTCTAAATCAAGATGCCTTTCTTCTTGGAAGAGTGATAACAGACAATATTCTTATCACTTATTAGTTAATCCATTTTATGATGACTATTAGACAAAGAAAAGGGTACATGACAATTAAATTAGACATGAATAAGACTTATGATAGAGTAGAATGGAATTTCATCAATTGGGTTATGGAGAGGTTTGGGTTTAATCAAAAGTTCATTAACTGAATCATGCATTGTATGGCAATAGTGTCCTATCAAATTTTGGTCATTGGTAGCCCAAGTAAAGTGATCAAGCCTTTCAGAGGAATTATATATTTCTTCTACGTTCAAAAGTTTTACCTATGGTTATGACTCATTTGAAAAATGAAGGTTCTATCTTAGGAATCCAAATAAATAGAAATTATCCCACAATTACTCCTCTCTTTTTTGCAGATGATTCCTACATTTTCTCCAAAGCAAGCATAGTTGATGCAGGGAGTATTATGGAGGTGCTGAAAAGTATGGGAAGGTTGTGAATTTCTTTAAATTTGAAGTTTTTTTTTCAACCCGAAATTGCATCTCAAACACCAAAAAATAATTGCAAAAGTGTTAAAAGTTAAGCCAGTTAGAAAACCCTCCTCTTATTTGGGTCTACCCCACATCATGGAAAATACAAAAAAAAATATTTGTTTAATTTTTTGGTGGACAGAAAGAGAAAAAAACAAAGAGCTGGAAGATAGCAGGATTATCCTGGCTGGAAAAGTGGTGATGGTTAAATTTGTCCTAACCTCAGTTCCAACCTATGCTATGTTTTGCTACCTTATTCCTAAAGAAATTTGCAACCAAATAGCAAGACTTCAGAGAAAGTATTTTTTGGGGTGAAATCACTCAAAAGATGAAGATTAACTGGATTAGTTGGAAAAAATCATGTAGAAGCAAGTTTTTTGGGGGTTTGGGGTTTCGGGACCCACCATCCTTTCAACCTGATTCTCCTAGCAAAACTTGCTTGGAGGTTCATAGAAAACAAAAATAGTCTATAGGTTAGAATTGTAGAAGCGAAGTACATTAGAGACAAGAGTTTTTGGTCAGGGTCCCCACAAACAATTCTTGGGCTTTTAGAAGCCTTATAGCTGGAAGGGATACTTTAAAAGAAGGAGTTTGCTGGAAGATTGCAAATGGCCGAAGTGTTAATCCATATGTAGACCCTTGGGTTCCAGATATTCCCTTCTTTAAACCCTTTGGCCCCCATCCTGGTATGAATTTAGATAATAAAGTTGGAGATCTGATTGATCCTATATCTCTAAAAATTGGAAGACACAAGTAGTTTCCCAAATGTTTGGTGATTTCCCGATTGGGAAAATTTGCTCTCTAGACCTTCCCGTGAGTGAAGGTGAGGACAAGCTTATGTGGCTATCAGATCCAAAAGGTCGTTTTACAATAAAGTCAACCTATCACTTAATAATGCATAAGTCAAAGTAGCTTATGGTTGGTGCAAATCAGGCAATATTACCGCCCAACAAGTGGAAGAAATCTTGGTCATTAAATTTACCCCCCAAACTGAAATCCTTTGTGTGGAGATGTCAGTACAACAGTTTGGCAACGAATCAGATTCTTGGTAGTAGAAAAGTGATTTAGGATAATCTTTGTCTGATTTGTCAAGAGGAACCTGAATCAATTATGCACGCTTTGTTCTTCTGTAGTCATGCAAGAGCATCTTGGTTTGGATCCTCTTTGGGCTTCAATAGTGATAGGCTCTCACGGTTTAACAATTTCCCGCAGTGGTGGGATTGGTGGTTGGACCAAGAGAAGAACAACTTAGGGATTGATACTCAATTGATTGTTTATTCTGTATTTCTGATGTGGTGCATTTGGAAAGCTCATAATGCTTTTGTTTCCAGTGAAGCAAGTCCTAATGCAAGTTTATCCATTCTTATTGCCAACAAGTGGATGAAGGATGCGATGAAAGTTTCCCCTCCTGAATCAATCGACTCTTCCACAGTCATCCATTAAATGCTTTGGTGGGGAGGTGGATGCTACCTTTAGGGTCTGAAATCAAAGTTAACACTTGATGTGGCGTAATCCAACTATTCCCTGCTGGAGGTGACCTGGCTTCCAGCGACGATGAGGATGGGTTCCTGAAAGAGAGGAGTTCAGAGTTCCCGGGGTGATTCACCCGGCGTGGATACTCCGAGGGCTAAGTTAGAACACAGTGATAGTGTAGAGCTTGAGGATGATAACAGTGAGAGCTCAGAGAGTAGGGATTTCGCACAATCAATAATAGTAATAGAACCTACCTTTGCCCCTGGTGAGAGCGGGGTTTTTATACACTGGCTCAGGTGGGTAGGTGGAACAGTCACTGAACCCCTGCTACGATGGGACCTGTCGCGTGTTAGGTGGTTGAAGCGCCGCCAAATGGTAATGCTGTCACTTCCCGTCAGAACGGGGAGTTGGTGAACCAATGTTACCGTTATAAGTATGGTCCTATGGGGTTCAGGAAAGGGGGTGTGTTCCTCGAGGTGGCCATGCGGAGATCTGTACGGTAGATGGGCTACCTGCGGGATTCCCAGCTGCTTGGTAGCGAGCTTCTCGAGCTCGTGCCTTGGTCTGCCTTTGTGAATGCTGATGTGTTCTTGGGTCGAGGTGATCCCAGTTCGGAGTACTAGCATACCTGAGCTCGCTTTATACCGAGCTGGCTTATGCCTAGTTGTCACTTGTGTGAGTCACGTACACGCGTCGTCTGTCTATGAGGTCGGGCCAAATCACCCTTCATCAATTCCCCCCCACTCCCCGAGCTAGGGGTTCTGACCTGGTACGGGGAGTTCATGATGTGACAAGTGGATTTGGCTCGGAGTTTGGGCTGATGTGGGATGGGCCGCGTACGATTCACGCACAGACGTTAGGCGATCTTATAGGTTCTACGAACGCCAAAAAATGCGCTAAATTGATTTCAATCTCGAGGGTTGTACAACCGGTTTTCTT